TGCAATAACCTGACAGAGGTGACAGGCAGCGAGGACGTACTGAAGGGCGGCTCGGTAGCGGGGAGCGCCGACGCTCTTGTGCGACTTGGAGTGGGCGCATCAATGGTCGAGAAGCATGGGATTGCAAGCGCGGAAGCAGCCGAAGATATGGCGCGGGCTGCGCGTGAGACTCTCGGCGCTGATGTGGGTATTGGAGTCAGTCCCCTTGCACTGGAATCTGCCGATGGGCGCGTCGTAGCAGGCACTTCGTTCATCGGGTATTCGATGAATGGGCGCTCAGGTTCGACTTCAGGGCACTACCCTACCCGCCGTCTGAGGATACGAGGGCGCGCGGTGACGCATGCGCTGCTAGGGATGATCAGGTTCGTGAGAGGGCTGCCGCTTGAGGCTGCAACGCTGCGTAGATAGTGCTTGGGCCGCCAGAAGGCTATGTTAGGCTCTCGCGCGCAGGATGCCTGGAACAGAAAAAATAGTGGCAACCAGAGTGGTTGCCACTATTTTTTTCATCCTAATGTGATGGATACATGCTTTGGCAAGAATGAAGAATGTGCATTACATTGTGAGCTTCTTGTAGAGATATAGGAGGCGCGAGGGAAGCTCGTAGATGTCGTCGAGGACTTCGTAGCCCATGTCGGAGCACATCGTCTTGAGGTAGTCGTGGCCGTTTTTGTCCACGGTAAGAGCGAAGGCATTGATGCCCTTATCCCTCGCCTCGTCGAGCGCCATCTTGGTGTCGTGGACTGCGTACTCTTTTTCGACACCCTCGCGGCTGTATCCCCTATCCTGCGGCCTGCCGTCTGAGATCAGGAACATCAGCTTGGTGCGGGCGTCCTGCTTGTCGAGCTTGTAGGTTGTGTGCCGAATGGCGGGTCCCATGCGCGTCGCATGAAGGGGCGCAATACGGTCGATGCGCTTCTTGACGCGGTCTGAGAAGTTTTCGTCGAGGTCCTTGATCGTGTAGAACTCTACATTCTCCCTGCCGTAGCCGGAGAAGCCGTAGATGCCGTAGAGGTCGCCGATTGCCTCTAGCGCGTTGATGAGCAGGACGATTGCCTCTTTCTCAACGTCGATGATGCGCTTGTATGAGCGGCGCATGGCTTCGCCGCGGCGGGTTCGCAGCCAGACCATGTACTCCACAGGGTCGTCCGGGGCGTCCCAGTCGTCATTATTCTTTCGGGTATCGTCAATCGCCTCAGCGGTGGATGCGCTAGTGTCGAGCAGGAATGCTACGGCGACATCGCGCTGCACCTTGTTGCGCCGCCAGTAATACTTGTCGCTGGGGCTTGCGCCGGTCCTCATATCCACGAAGGCTTCGATGATTTCGTCGATGTCAATCTCTTCGCCGTCTTCAAGCCTGCGGACTTTGCGGAACATTTCCGGCACCATCATCTCGAACTGCCGGCGAATCTGCGTTACAAGAGTGCCGTAGTTGCCGAGCGTGTTGCCGTAGTATGACGGATCGCCCTCCTGCATCGTCTTCTGGCGCACGATGCACCAGCGAGGCTTGTAGTCGTCGGCGCGGAAGTCCCATTCGTCGTACACGAAGGTCTGCGGCTCGCTGGCTTCGAGCGCGCCGCCGTCCTCATCGACATGGACGAGGGGGCCCTGTCCGAATTCGGGCGACTGCGGGGCGTCAACGCCGGCTTCCTTCATCAGGTTGTTCGCCATTGTGTTGCTGGACTGCTGGATTTCGCCCTGCACGGCTTCAAGTTCCAATTCGGCGCTGTTCTGCAGAAGCTCTTCAAGCATTTCCTGCGTGATGGGTTCACCGCTTGCCTCTCCGGCCTGGTCCTGCTGCATTCTGAGCTGCTCAAGGAGCTGAACGAGTTCAGGCTTGAAGTCGCCGCGGAACTCTACCTCGTCGGTGGATTCGTAGTCCTGCTCGCCGTCTGGGCGCACCTGCATTTCCATGCCCTGCGCTATCTGCTGGAGGAGCGACTCCATCTCGTCGGGGTCCATGTAGTCCTCTTCCATGTCCTCGCTCATATCCAGGTTTTCCCAGTCCTCCGGGGGCGCTTCCTCGTTGGGAATCTGGGAGATGATGGCGTATATGCGAAGGGTGGCTTCCGCAGTGTCTTCGACGGTCGCCTCAGGGTTGAGCACTTGCCGGATGATGCGCCCGATCTGCCGTGCCTGCTCTGTGTACTGCTCCGGTGCCGGCAGATCTTGGTATTGCTGGAGGCTCAGCCTGACAAGAAACTCGACCATTGCCTGGCGCATTGGCAATTCAATGATGTTCGGGCGGTTGGGCAGCGAATCATGCTGAATCTCAGTGTACGGATTGCGGATGCCCCGATACTCGTGCTTCACTCGGGCGTCGAGGCGTGCGTCCTCAACGACCGTGTAGATGTCGAGGGCGAGCTTGCGGTCGTCGAAGAGGTCGAAGAAGCGCTGGGCGTCGGTGAGCCAGGCGCGTTCGAGCGCTTCTGCGTCAATTTCGGGCATTTCGGACGTCTGCGTTGCCATTACCTTCTGGCGGTCTAGTTCGTAGCGCAGGTCGTTGAACATAGCGGATGGCCTGTCGAATTCGAACCAGAAGCTGCCGAATTCAAGGTGCGCTACCTGGTGCGTGGAGACGACCTTGAACCAGTTGAAGTTTTGGAGTTTCGTGATGTAGCGGTCAACGAGAGAAGGAACGAATACGGTGGAGCCTTCGGTGGACGGCGACTCGTTGGAGACCCAGCCGATGTTCTTGTCGGCAAGGTCGCCGCTTTCCGCAAGCTTGATTTCCGCACCTGCGAGGCCGCGGCAGTACATCTCCATCACGTCCTTAATGCGGGCGAATTCAACGCCGGAGGACAGGGTTTCGAGCATTTCTTCGGAGCGGGCGGACTCAATCTTGAAGTACGCCAAGCCACCGTCCTGGTTCTGCTGGAGGATGTTGACACCTTCCGCATACCACTTTTCGAGTTGGCTCATCGTTAGCTTGTCGAGCGCCTGCGGGCATGCCTTGATGAACTCGGGAACAGCGGCAGGCGACTGAAGCAGCAGAAGTTCCGCCATTCCGAGAATCTGCTCGTGTTCGTGGGATTCAATCTGGGCGAGGGCGTTGGAAGTCTCCAGCATAACGCTGGGAATGTTCATGCCACCGCTGTGGACAAGCTGCTCGGAGAGCTTCAGGAAACGCATCCGCTGGCTGCTGTCGATCCGAGGCAGGGCACGTGCGCCGGATTCGAAGAACGCCTTGATTTCGCGCCAGCCGGAGTCAACCAGAGCTGATGCCATGTTTATGAAAGTCGCCCTGTCTTCGCCAATCATCGGGAATAGCTGCTGACCAAGAGTCAGGCAGTCGGATGAGAGGTCGTATGAGCGATGGGAGAGCGCGTCAAGGAACTTGGCGAACCGCTCCATCTCAGGGAAGCTAAGCGTTTCGAGGAGCAAGGGGCTTGACTGGAAGAACTTGCAAGCGAGGGTGCTGGACTTCCATGTGCCCTTGTAAAGGCTTAGACCGAGGTTCGACCAACTCTCAATGTGGCGGGAGCGGAGCTTGCTCATCGTACCCGGGCTTGACTCGAAGTAGGCTGCGGCGAGTGTGGGGGATTCAACGCAGAGGGACTTGCCGCAGTCGGTCCACTTGAAGAAGTAGTTGAGCGGCATGTAGCCGAGCACTTTGGCGCTGACCTTGTAGAATTCGGCGGCGGCTTCCCAAGAGCGAACGGTCTCCTGCGCGAGTTCGAGGCCTGCGTTAGCCCACTGGCGCATTTGAGCGTCGGTAAGGTTGGGGGGCATCTGCTCGCGCGCCTTGTCGAATTCTTCGACTACGGATGCGGGATACTTCCCAAGCTCGACTTTGATGTCATCTAATGTTGCCGACTGGTTGTTCAAGGCATTCCCTCCTACCGAGAGGTTTCGAGCAGCTGCAAAAAACGTTGTAGAATCCGCGCCGTTGCGCCGAAAATAACGTGCCCGTCGTAGGTGAACACCGGCGCATTCTGAAGGTCGCCATTGGCGATGCGAATCTCGTCGCGGCGGTTGGCACTGTCCATCAGTGAGGATACAGGCACTTCAATGACTTCCGCAACCTCCGCTTCCTGCGGATGGAAGTCATAGGGGTACGGAATTGTGCCGGCGAAGGGGCTTGTGCAGAAACCGGTTGTGGTTGCGGTTTCGTCGAGCGCACCGAGCACCTCAATGTCTTGTGGGTCAATGCCCATCTCTTCATGAGTCTCGCGAAGGGCGGTGGCGAGAAGCGTGCCGTCTTCAGGGTCCACCTTGCCACCGGGAAACGAAATCTCGCCCTTGTGGGAGTCCACTTTGCTAGACCGCTTTTGGAGCAGTATGCAGTGGTCGCCGTCCTTTGGGTAGATGAGCACCATCACGCCTGCGGGCGTGAGCGAAGGATCATCAATGCTTGTTGGCTGGGTTCCAGCGATGACACGCTTAATGCGGTCTGTGAATGGGTTGCCCATGTAGGCGAGTTCGCTTTCGTGGATGTTTGCTTGTTAGTGTCACATTGTGTGACCTGGGCGGATTTAATATGTCCTGCGAAGGGTCATTGCCTCTTCAGGGCTTCACTTCTACGCCCTATCACAGGCGTATTGCAGTTGGCTAATGTCGATTTTATGCATTTGGAGGAAAACTTCCATGACTCTGCCCGCCTTGGAAGCGTCGCTGAGCAAGTCTGGCAGCACGGCAGGGACTATCTGCCAGACACGCCGAACTTGTCCCTGACCCAGCCGCACATGTCCTGTTCGCCGTCCTCGGAAAGCCGATCCCAGAAGTGGTCAACCTCACCCTGAGTTTCGCAGTTGACTACGAAGGATATTGCAGGGGAGAACTGGAACATCGGGCCTCCATCCAGCGCTGTGAAGGCTTGGCCGGCGAGTTCAAACGATATGATGCTTGCGCCGGCGCCGGGACCTGCGTGCAATCTGGACGCGCTTATGACTCCCTGAGTCCTCGAATATGGATGTGTAATATTCGGCAGCCTCCTTAGCCCTTCCGTCAAACCAGAGGAACGGTGTGATTTTCTGGATATTCGCCACTGCGTTTGACTGTCCTTACTCGAAGATGGAGGCGATAATCTCCTCGATGCTCCGCTGCACGGCATGGTCGTCAGTAACCGCCCAGTTGACGGCGACCTGGCAGGCGCGGCGGTGCGGGATGCCCTGCGACATGAGCTTGCCAGCGTAGATGAGCAGCCGAGTGCTTGCGCCCTCGCCCAGGCCGTGCTCACGCAGGTTACGGACCTTTTCGCCAAGCATCGCGAGCTGTGTCGCGTCGTCGTCGGAGCAACCGGATTCGTGCTGGATGATTTCGGCTTCGATGTCACGTGGCGGGTAGTCGAACTCGATAGAAACGAAACGCTGGCGCGTGCTGTGCTTAAGGTCCTTGAGCGCGCTCTGATAACCGGGGTTGTAGGAGAGAATCAGGAGGAAACCGTCTGCCGCTTCGAGGAGTTCCCCGCGCTTTTCGACTGGGAGTATGCGCCTGTGGTCGGTCAGAGGGTGAATGAGGACGGTCGTGTCCTTGCGCGCCTCGACAATTTCGTCCAGGTAGCAGATTCCACCTGCCTTGACTGCTCGGGAAAGGGGGCCATCGATCCACACTGTGGAATCGCCTTCAAGCAGGTAGCGGCCAACGAGGTCGCTCGCGGTGAGGTCTTCGTGGCAGGCGATTGTTACCAGAGGCAGGGTCTCGCCTTCCGGCCGCTCGACGCCCCTGCTGTCTGACTGCTGAATTTTTGTGAGCGGCTGGGCGAGCCTATAAGACATGTACTCCACGAAGCGCGTCTTGCCGCAGCCTGTCGGGCCCTTAAAGATTAGAGGAATTCGCTGCTGATACGCAGCCTCAAACAACTCTACCTCGTCTGCGACGGGGACATAGTAGGGTTCTTCGGTGAGGTGGTATTCCTCGATGAGATAGCTTCGGAAGAGCGTAGTCGTTGATTGCGTCATCTTGTAAGTTTGCACTCCTTAACGGGTAAGAACCCTGCTGTTCCACAAATCCTGTATTTTGGCCGATAATTCTTCAAGGCTGCCAGCGTTTTCAAGCACGACATCGGCGTGCTGGACGCGTTCCGATCTGGGGCATCTGTGAATTGATACGTGAGCGGGCGGTATCTTCGTCCATGTTGTTGCGCTCTTGCAGACGGGTGATGATGTCTGTCACCGGCGATACAGTGACCCAGACTTCGTCCACCAGCGGCGTCCACTTTGCCTCGATAAGCAACGCGGCTTCAAGCACCGCCATATTTTCGCCACGCTCGGCGAGTGCGTTGAGCCGTTGCTCTGCGAGAGTGTAATACGCGGGTGCATGATTGCGTTGAGTTGCAGCAGTGCATTTTCGTCGCTGAAGACGATGCCACCAAGAGCCCGACGGTCGATTTCGCCGTTTTCTGCAACAATCTGTTCGCCGAAGGTGTCGACAACTGCGTGCCATCCCTCGGATTGAGGCGCGTAAACCTCGTGTCCGAGCAGGTCGGCGTTTACGATGGCAGCGCCCAAATCTTTAAGCAGGCTTGACACGTAGGTTTTGCCAGTGCCGATGCCGCCTGTGAGTCCAATTACGAACATAGCCTCCCTGGATATAGAGAAATCCTTCACATTCAGAACATTTTACCAAGCGTCTAATGTAGGGTCAACAACACGCAAGTTTACCATCATTCGTGGAATAAGGAATTGCAGGCGCAGAATCGCTTATAATCATGGGCGGGAGATGTGAAATGACTTCAGCGTACAGATCTTTGCCCAGCGTGGAACGGTTGCTTTCCGATGAACGCTTAGCGCCATTGATGGAAGCGCATTCGCGCCAACACGTTCTCGGTTTTGTGAGGAATGCACTCGACGACGCTCGCGGCGCAATCGCTGCCGGTGGAACTGCTCCGAAGGCAGACCAGATTGTCGAGGCCATCAGAGCGCGCGCCGCGGCAATGAATCAGGGATGGCCGCGGCATGTGATAAACGCTACGGGAGTGGTGCTGCATACGAATCTTGGGCGCGCGCCACTAAGCGACGACGCAATTGAAGCGATGCGGCGGACAGCGCAGGGATACAGTGACCTGGAGCTTGACCTGGGCACGGGACGGCGCGGATCAAGGCAGGCGCATATTTCGGAGCTCGTGGCGCGGGCTACGGGCGCTGAGGCTGCGCTGGTGGTGAATAACAACGCTTCGGCGGTGATGCTTGGGCTTGCAGCTATCGCAAGTGGCAAAGAGGTCATCGTGTCGCGCGGGGAGGCTGTGGAGATTGGGGGCGGCTTTCGTGTTCCCGATGTTCTGCGACAGAGCGGGGCGACGCTCGTGGAAGTGGGGACGACCAATCGCACTTATGGGCGCGATTACGAGGCGGCGATTACAGAGGAAACAGGCGCGCTGCTTGCGGTGCATGCGAGCAATTTCCGCGTGATGGGATTTACACACGCGCCGGAGATGAAGGGAGCTTGTCGAGATTGGGGCGCGACGTGGCGTGCCGGTGCTGCACGACCTGGGGAGCGGCTGCCTGTTGGATTCGGCCCGGTTCGGGTTGATGCATGAGCCAATGCCGCAGGAAAGCGTCAGGGCAGGTGTAGGATTGTCATTCTTTTCCGGCGACAAGCTGCTTGGAGGGCCGCAGGCGGGCATAATCGCAGGCGACAAGGCGCTCGTCGATACTGTTTCGCGGCATCCTCTGGCGAGGGCGATGCGCATCGACAAACTGAGCATGGCTGCGCTGGCGGCGACGCTGGAGCATTATATTCGGGACGAGGCGTTGGACAAAGTACCGATATGGCGGATGATTGCGATGCCTGCTGACGAAGTGAGGGCGCGTGTCAAGGTATGGGCTGAGAAGATTGGAGAACAGGCGTCGCCGATGAAGGCGCAATCGACTATTGGCGGCGGCAGCCTGCCCGGGGAGACACTGCCTACCTGGGCATTGGCGATTGAGTGCGACGGCGTAGATGGTGGTGCGGAGGTAGTAGCGAGGCGGCTGCGAGAGGCAGATAACCCGGTTCTAGGGCGTATTGAGGATGGGCGAGTGCTGCTGGATGCTCGTACTGTACTGCCGGACGAGGATGACGCGCTATTGAAGGCTGTGCAATCAGCGTTGCATGGTCAGGAATAACCCGGCAGGACTAACCCGGAAGGATAGAGCCTGATGACACTCTTCGAGCATCGTTCGCGGCAGGAACTCGGAAGCAGGGCGCCGCTTGCAGCAAGGATGCGTCCGCGCACATTTCGAGGAGTATCATCGGTCAATCACATATCATCGGGCCCGGGAACGGCGCTGCGAAACAGCATCGAAGCCGACCGCCTGCCGTCGATCATACTCTGGGGGCCGCCGGGCACAGGCAAGACCACGCTTGCGAGCCTTATCGCGAATGTGACGGATAGCCACTTCGAGCAAGTGAGCGGCGTGGCGTCCGGGGTGGCGGATCTTCGGCGAATTGCGGGTGAGGCGCGTGAACGACTGGGCATGAGCGGGCAGTCAACGATCCTGTTCGTGGACGAGATTCACCGCTTCAACAAGGCGCAGCAAGATGTCATCCTGCCATTCGTAGAGGACGGGACCGTTGTCCTGATCGGCGCGACCACGGAGAATCCGTCGTTTGAGGTTGTGTCTCCCCTGCTCTCCCGCGCCAGAGTGTTTGCCTTAGAATCGCTAGGCGACGAGCAGGTGCATTCAATCGTGATGGCTGCCGCGACGGATGCAGAGCGCGGACTTGGGGCACTGATGCCTTGCTTCAACGATGGTGCCATCGCCGCGCTGGTGAATCTTGCCAACGGGGACGCCCGTACTGCACTTAACGCGCTTGAACTTGCGGTGACTGCGACCGCGCCCTGACGCTGAGGGGAAGCGCCATATCAGCGTTGCGATGGTTGAGGACGCGATGCAGCGGCGATCGCTGAGGCACGACAAGGGCGGCGACCTGCACTATGACACCATATCGGCGTTCATAAAGTCGGTGCGCGCGTCGGATCCTGATGCTGCTATCTACTGGCTGGCTCGGATGCTGGAGGCTGGCGAGGACCCGATGTTCATTGCACGGCGATTGGTAGTGCTTGCGTCTGAGGACATCGGCATGGCGGCTCCACAAGCACTGACGGTTGCGGTTGCGGCACAGCAGGCGGTGCATTTCATCGGGCTTCCGGAAGGACGGATTCCGCTTGCAGAGGCGACGGTCTATCTTGCGACCGCGCCGAAGAGCAACGCTTCGTACATGGCGCTGAACAGGGCGACAGAGGATGTGCAAAGGACGCGTAATGAGCCAGTGCCGCTGCATCTGCGAAACGCTGTGACAGGGCTGATGCGAGGGATGGGCTATGGCGAGGGCTACAAGTACGCGCACGACTTCGAGGGCAATTTTACGCAGACACAGAACCTCCCCGACAGTCTGAAGAATAAACGCTACTATCAGCCGGGTGATCAGGGCTATGAGCGCACGGTGCGGGAGCGCATGGAGCGCTGGTGGGGTTCGGCTCCGACAGGCGGCAGCGACGACGAATGAGGTAGGTTGGCAGCTTGTTGGTTGTCTGACGGACTCGCCGCAAAGGGTATGTTACTTCGTAGCCTGCTTGAAGAATATCTAATTGTCATCAATTGCCGCTTCTATTGCAGGTTCATCGTCGCGGTATCTTGCAGCAAATGTCCGAATGAGTCGCAAGCCGTTTAGGACGACCACGCCACCGCCTATGGATATTGCAAGCGGAGCGCCTATCAGCGCGGCGATTGCGCCAGTGTGGAAGCCTGAGAATCCTGTCAATCCCCAAGTAAAGGTCTGAAAGCTTAACACGCGCCCGCGCATTTCATTTGGGACGCTGGTCTGCAAGAGCGTGCCCAGCATAGTTTCGTACATTGCCACGCTCGCGTAGGCGACCGCAATGAGTATGAGAGACAGGATCAGAGATGTTGACATGGCAAACAGAATCAGGAACGTACCGAATCCGATGTACCCACAGATGAGCGCAAGTCCCTTCCTGCGTATGTCGCCTATGCTTGAAAGCAGAATCGAGGACAGCAGCGCGCCCGTGCTACCTGCCGCGATGATGAAGCCCAACCCGAAGGGACCCGCGTTCAATTCCTGCCCGCCATGACGGGAATCATGGATTCATGCGCCCAGCCAAACAGCTCGGAAGTTACCATCAGCAAATCAGAAGTCTCACGGAGGGCGTTGTAAAGACATAGCGGACACCCTCTTTGAAGTCCTGAATGGAGAGGATGTCGCTTTTCGCTCGCTGGGCATGACGCCCTTCATGAAAGTCAGCATCAGGACAGAGAGAGTTAACGCCACGGTCATGGACACGTAAGCCCAGCCAATGCCGTGAGTCTCAATCAACCGCCCCGCAAGCGGCGGAATGATGATGCCTGTACCCGTCATAGCGGCGAAGTTTGCGGCCATTGCCTTTTGGATGTTGCGTCGTCCCGCGACATCCACCATCAGAGCCATTCGGGACGGCACTCTGATGGACACCATCGCGCCGTCTATGAAGGAGCCGACCAGAATGTGCCACAAGCCGATCTGTCCGGTGAAAATCAGGAATGCCAGCGATACCGCTACGCATGCCTGACAGACTTGCGTAGCCAGAATCAAAATTTGCGATTGAGCCTGTCCGCCAGCACACCTGAGATTGTACTGAACAGTATTATGCTCAGCCCACTAGCGCCGAAAACCGCGCCAACCCAGAATGCGGAGTCTGTGACAGTGAGCGCAAGCCAGCCGTGCGCGGTGTAATGGAACATAATGCCCATTTCGCTGACAACTGAGCTTGACCATAGGAGGCGGAAACGGGGGTAGTGAAGGATTAGCAGCATAGGTCGCTTGCAGGATGAAATTGATAGATGTGATGCACGGGTAGGGCTCGCACACCATACTAGCCCTCAGACATCGAGTTGGGAAGGGAAATTGTAAGTGATGGTCTAAGTTACGGCATCAGCGGGCGTAGGTGCAGGCTCGTCCTCGCGGTATTTGCCGATGAAGGTTCGGACAAGACGTAAGCCGTTTAGTACGACCACACCACCGCCTATGGAAATTGCAAGCGGCGCGCCTATCAGAGCGGCGATAGCGCCGGTGTGGAATCCTGAGAAGCCTGTGAATCCCCAGCTGAACATCTGGAAGCTCAGGACACGCCCGCGCATCTCGTCGGGCACGGTGGTCTGCAAGAGCGTTCCAAGCATGGTTTCGTACAAGGCGACGCTTGCGTAAGCGATGGCGATGAGTACGAGCGATAAGATCAGCCATTCGGACAGGGCGAACAGAATCAGGAATACACCGAATCCTATGTAGCCTAGGATTAGGGCAATTCCTTTTCTGCGTATGTCTCCGATGGCGGAGAGGATCAGCGATGCGATCAGCGCGCCTGCGCTTCCTGCCGAAATAAGGTATCCAAGTCCGGTCGCGCCGGTGTTCAAGACTTTGGCTGCCATCACCGGCATCATGGACTCATGTGCCCAACCGAACAGCTCGGACGTGAGCATAAGCACGAACAAGAGCCTGACTTCGGGCGTGGTCAAGACGTACTTCAAGCCCTCCTTGAAGTCCTGCACCGGGGAGGTCTTTGACTTCCGCTCGGCTCGCCGGACGCCTCGCAGGAAGAGCAGCATGGTCGCAGAAAGCAGGAAGGCACCGGTCATGGCTACATACGCCCAGCCTATGCCGTGAGATTCGACCACGAGGCCCGCAAGGGGCGGAATGAATATTCCCGCGCCGGTCATAGCGGCAAAGTTCGCGGCCGTAGCCTTCAGCATGTTCTGGCGGCCAGCCACATCGAGGACGAGAGCTGTGCGGGACGGCACCTTGACGGACATTATAATGCCGTCGATGAACGCGGCGACGATGATGTGCCAGAGCTGAATTTGCTCGGCGAATATGAGCGCGGCAATTGATGCCGCTACGCATACTTGGAATGCCAATGCGATCAGGATAAGTGTTTTGCGATTGAGCCTGTCCACAAGGACGCCCGCGCCTGTGCTGAAGAGCATAATGCTCAAGCCGTTGACGCCGAATGTCGCGCCTACCCAGAATGCCGAGTCGGTGACTTCCAATGTAAGCCAGCCGTGCACGGTGAAATAGAACATCAAGCCCATGTAGTTGACGACATAGCTTGACCAGAGCAGGCGGAAGCGAGGGTTTCGGATGATTAGCAGCATAAGGTAAAAGAGAGGCAGGCGATTGGAAGTCGGCCTGCCTCTTGATCTGTGCGGTGGATTGCAGCGCGATTATGTCGTGGCGTACTTTCTGCAGGCGGCTTCCATGACTTCCAATGTATAGTCAATGTCGTCGGAGGTGATGCCATAGTGAGTGACGAAGCGCCAGCCGCGTGTTGGCATGCCGCCCTTTACACCATGCTTGTTAATTTCTTCCATAATCAGGGCGGGGTCGCCGTCGGTGATGGTGAAGAAGACGAGGTTCGTGGGCAGGCTGTCAGGGTTGATGTCGATGCCGGGAATCTGAGCCAAGCCCTGAGCAAGCCTGCGTGCGGTGGCGTGGTCGTCGTTGAGGCGCTCAACCATGTTGTCTAGCGCGACGATGCCCGCGGCCGCGATAACGCCTACCTGGCGCATGCCCCCGCCGACCATCTTGCGCCACTTGCGCGCGCCCTGAATGAACTCTTCACTGCCGCATACGACCGAGCCTATCGGACAGCTCAAGCCCTTGACAGGCAGAAACTCACGCTGTCGGCGTCCTTCACAAGTTCAGTAACAGGCGTTTCGAGGGCAACGGAGGCGTTGAAGATGCGCGCGCCGTCAACGTGCAGGGGGACGCCTTGCCGGTGGGCGATTTCGGCGACTGCCGCCGTATCGTCTGCGGTCAAGGGCGCGCCTCCACAGGCGTTGTGAGTATTCTCTAAGCCTATCATCGCGGTACGGGTGAAGTGGACGTTGGGCTGGCTTGATAGCGGCTTCGAGTTCGTCAAGGTCTAGCATGCCGCGATGGTCGTTGGGCAGCGTGTTATATGCAACGCCGCCTAGCGCAGAAGCGCCTCCCGCCTCGCTGCGGAAGATATGCGCCTTGTCTCCGATGATGATTTCATCACCGCGTCCCGCGTGGGTCAGAATAGAGACGAGGTTGCCCATCGTGCCGCTTGCGACGAAAACGGCAGCCTCCTTGCCCAATCGCTCGGCTGCCATTGCCTCAAGGCGGTTAAGTGTTGGGTCGTCGCCGAAAACATCATCGCCAAGCTCGGCTTCCGCCATTGCGCGGCGCATCTCCGGCGAGGGGTGGGTCACTGTGTCGCTGCGTAGGTCAACCTCTCTCAATTGGGGCCTCCTTAGGCGGTTGGTAAGTTGCTCGGTTATTCGGTTAGTCAGTCAACTGCTGCTTAATATGCAGCTTTTTGCAATGCGAAATAATTCAAACTTATTGTCCTCCGACAAGCTCAGGACCAACGGCCTACGGATGTCCGTCGCCTTGTCCGAACCGCTATCATTCTAGCAATCACGCTTGTCAAAAGCCATAGTGGTCGCCTAAACTTTAGTCGGTCCTTTTGCACTGGAACACGTGAAGGTTAGAGCGAGAATATGGCAGCGACGAGACACGACATCACATTTGCAAGCGGCGACCTGGAGATTGAGGGGACTCTGCACCTGCCCTCAGAGACCGGGCGCTTTCCCGGTGTAGTGATATGCCATCCGCATCCACAGTACGGCGGCGATATGTACAACGTCATTGTAGCGTCGCTGGCGCAGAGTCTTTGTGCCAAGGGCATCGCTGCACTGCGGTTCAATTTTCGCGGCGTGGACATGAGCGAGGGTTCCTTCGACGGCGGAGCGGGCGAGATCGAGGACGCTGTCGAGGCGATGAGCTTCCTGTCGCTTAACGATAATGTGGACTCCAGCCGCATAGGTATCGCAGGGTACTCGTTTGGGGCTGCGGTGGCGGTTGCTGCTGCAGCGCGGAGCAAGCTTGCGCAAGCACTGGTCAGCATCGCCTGCCCTTCCCGAGTGTTCAACGAGATGAGCGCGCAGGAACTACTGTTGCCAAAGTTGCTGATTCTGGGGGAGTACGACCACGACTTCCCGGCTCAACAGTTCAAGTTCATGGCGCGGCGGTACACCGAACCAAAGACTGTTGAGATTATCACAGAGGCCGACCATTTCTTTGGCGGTCATGTGGCTGAGGTAACGGGGCTGGCGACCGATTTCTTAAGCGAGTGGCTTGGCGACCAGGGGCGGCGAGGATGATGCGGCAGACTGCGGTTGCTTTCAAGAGCAAGGGTCTAACGCTGGAGGGTGTGCTGGCGCTACCTGAAGGAACTGCCTCAGCCCTACCCTGCAATCGTGATGTGTCATTCGCATCCGTTGCTGAGTGGCAATATGGATAATCCTGTCGTCACCAGCGTGTGCCGCGCGGCGAGCGAGGGCGGTTATGCGAGCTTCCGATTCAATTTCCGCGGCGTTGAGGGTAGCGAGGGCGAGTTCGAGAATGGCGACGCTGTGCACGACGACATTAAAGCGGCGCTAAATATAATGCGGCGGTGGCCGGGCGTTGACGGCAAGCGGGTTGCGCTGGGAGGGTACTCATTTGGCGCGGGCGCGATTCTTCGCGGGCTGCGGCATTTCGGATCGGCGCGGAGCCTTGTGCTGATTGCGCCGCCTCTCTCATCTATTGGGGACTCACGCATTGTCAAGGACAAGCGCCGTAAGCTGTTTGTCGTGGGGCAGAATGATCGCCTAGTGTCGTCCGTGGAATTGCAGAGTGTATTGGACGGCGTTCGAAGACCGCTTCAGTTTCGGGAGATAGCGGGCGGCGATCACAGCCTCAGTGGGCGTGAGTGGGAGGTAGCGGATCAGGTTGCGGGGTTTGTGAGAGAATCTCTGGCATAACTGCAATCTGGATTCATGCCTCTGCCAGAGTGGCGAGTGAAAGCAAACAGATAGTTAAAGTCTAAACGTTGATCAGGAGCAAATATGACACAGGAACAGAAATATCGGAGCGAGAGGGACTCGATGGGTGAGTTCCATGTGCCTGCGGACGCCTATTATGGGGCGAACACGATGCGGGCGGTGCTGAACTTTCCAATCAGTGACTTGCGGTTTCCGCGCTCGTTCATCAAGGCGCTGGGGCAGATTAAGCAGGCTGCGGCGCAGGTGAACGAGGAGCTTGACCTTCTGGACGGCGAGCTTGCAGACGGCATCGTGCAGGCGGCGCAGGAAGTTATCGATGGAAAACTGGACGACCAGTTCGTTGTTGATATATTCCAGACTGGCAGCGGCACATCGACGAACATGAACGTGAACGAGGTCATATCTAACCGCGCGATCGAGATGATGGGCGGCGTGATAGGCTCGCGGTCGCCGGTACATCCAAACGACCATGTGAACATCGGGCAGTCGTCGAACGATGTCATTCCCACTGCCATCCATGTGTCGGCTCTGAAGGCGATTCATGACGACCTCATCCCTGCCCTGGAGCAGCTTCAAGAAGGGTTGCGGCAGAAGTCGGAAGAGTTCATGCCGGTTATCAAGACGGGACGGACACACTTGCAGGACGCAACGCCTGTGCGCTTGGGGCAGGAGTTTCTGGGGCATGCGGGGCAGATCGAGCGAGGCATCGAGCGCCTTCGACACGCGGAACGCGAACTGAGTGAGGTTGCTCTGGGCGGCACAGCTGTGGGTACGGGCGTTAATACGCACCCGGAGTTTTCGGGTCTGGTGTGTGTGCGGCTCTCGAAAGTGCTGGGCGTGGAGGTTCGTGAGACAACAAACCACTTCCAGGCGCAGAGCACATTGGACAATGTTGTGGAGGCGAGCGGTTCGCTGAAGACGGTTGCCGTGAGCCTGATGAAGATATGCAATGATATTCGCTGGCTTGGTTCGGGACCGCGTGGCGGTATTGGTGAGATAGAACTGCCGGAGGTGCAGCCGGGAAGCTCAATCATGCCGGGCAAGGTGAACCCGGTGATACCGGAGTCTGTTTGCCAAGTTGCGGCGCAAGTCATCGGGAACGATGCAGCTATTGCCGTTGGAGGGCAGTCGGGGAACTTTGAGATAAACGTAATGATGCCCGTGTGCGCTTACAACCTGTTGCAGTCGATTGACCTTCTGGCTGCTGCTGCGCGCAATCTTGACGAGCAGTGCGTGCGCGGATTGAAGGCGACGAGCGCGGGGCCTGATATGGTCGAGCGCGGGCTTGCCATCGTGACGACGCTTGTGCCGCATATCGGGTACGATGATTCGGCGGCGATTGCCAAGGAAGCGCAGGCGACTGGCAAGACGGTGAAGGAAGTAGCTATCGAGAAGACGAGCCTTTCGTCAGAAGAGCTTGACGAGATTCTGGATCCTAGTGGGATGACGGAGCCGGGACTGTCGGCGGGCGGAGTGTCAGTGGGCTGAACCTACATCGATCGGCAGGAGGGAGGGATGTGTATTGTCCCGTTTCCCCGTCTTATAGGCGCGCCCGGATGAGGTCAATCTCGTCCTGGCGCGTTTCTATTTGCTCATCGAGGCGGGCGACGAGCAGGTCGTGAAGTAGTTCGCCGACCGGTGGGCCTTGGGTGACGCCGAGTCCGAGCAGGTCGTTGCCGTTCAGGATTGGCTTGATATGGCGCAGTTCGTTCAGATATAGCATCAGGCGCTGCGCTTCACGGCTACCTTCGGCGAACAAGGCGCATCCAAGTATCGCGGCTTCATCGAGTTCGCGCAGTCGCATATAAGTCTCGCTCCGGCTCGCCTTGCCAGCGGTGGTGGGATCATCCCGTACACCAGCCTGCGCTCTTCCTGTGTCGTCAATGACCTGCGCCCAGCGCGAGGTTAGGTGCAGGCGATCGACGAAAGAGGCTCTTTCTTGCGCGTTCACATCGTGAGACAGGATCGACAGGTAGATCGAGGGCTTGTCAGAATGCTGCGATTTCTCAGCAAGGCGAAGGGCGCGTTCAGTAGGAGGATCGAGCGCCAGGGACGGATGGATGGATCGCAGCGCGCCCAGTCGGTGCAGCATTTCGAGCGTTGAGACTGCCCTGCCCTCTTGGAGTACGCGCTCGAATTCGTGTCGGAGTCTTGCGCCGGAGATTGTGTCAAGGTATGAGGTATCTCGACTGAGCAGGTGTTCAGTCTGTGGATGCAGTGTAAAGCCAAGCCTGACGGTGTAGCGGGCTGCTCGGAGGATGCGGGTGGCGTCGTCCCTGAAGCTGTCTTCGTACAGGACACGCACGATACTCCGATTCACGTCATCTTGACCGTTGAATGGGTCAAGCAACTCTCCCCATGAGTTTGCGTTGATGGAAGCCGCCATCGCGTTGATGGCGAAATCGCGCCGAGCCAAATCCTGCTGCATTGTCCCGGGAGCAACGGTGGGTAGCGCTCCGGGATGGGTGTAGGTCTCGTGGCGCGCCATTGCGAGGTCGATATGTCTACCGGACGCATTCAGAGCGAAGGTGTTGAACTGGGAATGGGCGACAACCTTTCCATTGAGCGCAGCAGCCGCCCCGCGCGGGAAGCCAGATGTCATGCCGACGACGGCGATGTCGATGTCAGTGACCCTCAGCCCAAGCAGCGCGTCGCGAACCGCGCCACCGACCAAGTAAGTTCGGGCGCCGTGTATTTCGGCTACGGCTGCAATGCCGCGCAATTGGCGCAGCGAGAGGGTGTCAAGCTGCGCCTCTAATGTTGCGGCGATGTTTGTCACATCGTGCCTTCGTTTAGCTAGATGCTGCCTACTTTAGCGTTGAATGCGGCTGCGCCGGTGCCGACCCATGCCTGCCAGCCGGTCATCATGAACTTGACGCCCAGACCGAGGTAATGCTCAACATTGTCGTCGTTGACGAGTGAACCTGCCGTGCGTCCGGATGCGACAATCTTTTCGAGCGCGCCGTCGATGGTGGCAGTAACATCAGGGTGGTCGATGCCGCCCAGGTGTCCCATGGACTGCGCGAGGTCGCTGGGTGCCACGAAGAAGACGTCTATGTTGTCAACGGTCAGTATCTCGTCCAGGTTGTTGACTGCCTTGATGTCCTCTATAAGGACTACTACAAGCGTCTCGTTATTTGCCTTGTAGATATAGTCGGGGTCGCCGTAGCCCTGCCTGCTGCCGAACATTCCGCGATGCCCGACGGGCGCGAACTTGGCGGCGTCCACGACCGCGCGCGCATCTTCGGCGGTGTCGACATGAGGAATGACTATTCCCTGCGCGCCGACGTCGAATGTGCGATAAATGATGCCGGCGTTGTTGCGGTTCACACGCACAACGGATGTCATATTCCAGAGGTCGCAGGCTCGCGTCAGGTCAGGGATGTCGGCGAAGTCGTTGGGACCGTGCTCAGCCTCGATCCAAACCGCGTCGAAGCCGAACTGTCCCAAGAAATCTATGATGTGAGTAGAGTTTAGCCCGGAGATACATACAACGGGTTCGCCGCGCTCCAATTTGTGCTTTGCCGTGTTCTCTCGCATATTCTTTCTCCTTCTGGTGTTAGGCGCGGCTATTATATCGCTGTGCGCTGTCAGTTGTCAGTAATCAGTTTGCGGCCTTTCGGTCTGCACCCTGAATGAGGTGGTAAGATGTGTGCTGCAATGAATGCGGCATAGAGCGAGGGGGATGGAATGCCCGGTGAGTTTAACTATTGCCAGCGATGCGGTGAGGGGCTGGAAGAGAAGCGTATCGAGGGCAGGATGCGCCACCATTGCCCTTCCTGCGGGCACGTAGTATTTCTAGACCCGAAAGTTGCTGCGGTCGCGCTTGTGGTCGATGGCAAGGGACTTGTCATGGTGAAACGGGGCGTCGATCCGCAGATTGGCAAGTGGGCGTTTCCGTCGGGCTATGTGGATAGAGGCGAAGTCGTGGAGGCGGCCGCTGTGCGCGAGGTGAAGGAAGAGACGGGGCTGGATGTGGCGCTGGACAGACTCGTCGGCGTGTATTCGTTAGAGGACAACCCTGTGGTGCTGGTGGTATATTCGGCGCACATAGTCGGCGGTACTATCGTGGTCGGCCATGACGAGCTGGCGGTGCAGACATTCGCGCTTGACGAGCTGCCACCGCTCCCGTTTCCGCATGACGCGCAAATATTGAGGGATTGGCTTAACGGAAATTGACGGGGTGCGCTAAGTGCGAAGTTCGTTTTCTAGCGATTTCGTCTTGCGAATAGTTCGGGACGAACAGGGGCTTCTTATCGTGTATAATCCGCCCATTCGGAGAATTATCAGAATTACAGGAGGTCAGTTATGAAGTACGACTACATCATCATCGGCGCAGGTTCAGCGGGTTCGGTGCTGGCTACTCGACTGACGGAGGACTCGGACCGAACGGTGCTTCTGTTAGAAGCGGGGCCGGACTATCCTGACATTGAGCACCTGCCCGAAAGCGTTAAGCAGGGCAACAATCCGTGGCATTCGGCATACGGGCCCGACGCGCATAGCTGGAACTATGAGGGTAACGCCGTGCCGGGCCGAGAGCCGTTCATCGTGCCGCGTGGGAAAGTCACCGGCGGTTCGAGCGCGATCAATGGGCAGGTGTTTTTCCGGGGGATACCGGAGGACTATGATGAGTGGGCGGAATTTGGAAATAGCGAGTGGTCGTTTGTGAACTGCCTGCCATTCTTTCGCAAGAGCGAGACGGACCTGAAATATGGTGGCGACGACTTTCACGGATCTGGCGGACCTATTCCGGTGAGGCGCTACGAAAGAGACGATGTCAATCCCAGCGCGAAGGCGTTCTGGGCGGCGTGCGTGAGTGCGGGTTTCCCGGAGTCAATGGACCAGAACCATCCCGAATCGACCGGGGTGGGACCACGCCCGCTGAACAATGTTGACGGCGTCCGAATGAGCACTTCCCTAACCTATCTTTCCCAAGTTCGGCATAGGCTGAACCTGACAATTCGCGGCAATGTGATGGTGCATCGAATACTGTTCGAGGGCAAGCGCGCGGTTGGAGTCGAAGGTGAGAGCGGAGGTGAAGTGTTCAAAGTGTTTGCGGATGAGATCATCCTGAGCGGAGGCGCAATCAATTCTCCGCAGACGTTGATGCTATCCGGAATCGGCCCTGCTGAGCACCTAAAGGAAACGGGCATCGATGTGCTTCATGACCTGCCCGGCGTAGGTGAGAATCTGCGCGATCACCCGTCCACTTTCATTCCATTCAGCACAAATCTGGAATTGGCGGACATAAACACGCCTTCCATTCAGGTGGGTATGCGCTACACGACGCCGAATTCCATACATCGAAACGACATGCAGATGAGTCCGATTCTGATGACCAGCGAACACAGGCCGTCGAATGTGCAGTTGAACGAGGAGGGCACTTACACCGGGTTCAGCGTGGCATTGCAGAAGGCGGTAACCGCGGGCACGCTTCGGCTCGCATCCGCCGATCCGAACCAGCAGCCCGTGCTGAACTACAACTACCTGAGTGATCCGTGGGATCGTGAGCGGATGCGCGGCGCTGTGAGGCTATGTGTTGAAATCTCGCAGAGTCCAGAGTATCAGGAGATCCTGATTGAGCGGCTGACGCCGTCGGATGAGGAGCTTCAGGACGATGACGCGCTGGACCGATGGCTGCTGGAATATGTGGGCACGCAGCATCATTCGTCAGGTACTTGCAAGATGGGCGATTCGTCTGACGAGATGGCGGTCGTGGACCAGTTTTGCCGGGTGCATGGTATCGAGGGGCTGCGCGTCGTGGATGCGTCCGTAATGCCTGATGTGGTACGAGCTAACACGAACGCGACCACTATCATGATTGCGGAACGGGTGTCGCAGTGGATAAATGACGGGGTATAGGGTTTGTCGAGTAAATGCCGTTGGGCTACGTGGACTCTTTTTGTTGACCGGATTGGGACGTTCGCGATTTCTGCTGGCAGCAGCAATAGTGGCCTTCGCGGTGTCAGCGTGGGCATGCGCAGAGAGTTCGCCAGAGTTGGACGCCCTTGAAGCGGAGGATGCGTACTCGCGCGGGCTGGAACTGCGCGAGCAGGGGCAGATGCGAAACGCATTCGACGAATTCAACCAGGCGCTGAGTCTGAATCCCCGTTACGCGGAAGCATACTCGGCGCGGGCGTCCATCTACTACGCCTTTGGTGACGAGACAAAGACTATCACCGACCTCAACCAGGCGCTGAGGCTTGACCCCGAGATTGCAGAGGCATACTACTACCGGGGTCTCATCTTTATTGCCAAGGGTGATAGCGACAGCGCCGTGATAAACCTCACGCGGGCACTGCAAATCGATCCAGAGCATACGGACGCATATTTCAACCGGGCGAGAGTGTATTTCGCGCTTCAGGACATAGATGCAGCCCTAGGCGACCTGACTTCTGCGGTTGAGATTGAAGATGGTTCGGCGCAACTGTACTTTCTGCGAGGACAGGTTTACCTGATGGCTGGGGAGACAGAGAAGGGCCTCGCGGACATCGAACGCACTCTTGAACTTACCGACGACGATGCCCTTGCCGCGCGCGCTAAAGAGTTGCTCTCAACGGTAAGGTAGCCCAAGTTCTCAGGATCCAGCGAGATTCAGCAGTTGACCGTGGAGGCGTCGTGGAAGGCGAAGAAACCCGGGCTTCGTTGCTCGATCGCCAGCTTGGCGGGATAGACTTGCGGAGCCTGGCATGGCTGCTGTTGATGTCCACGACGCTGTTCGTGATGCTGTTCCCGTTTTCGAGCTATGTTGCCGCGCTGCCCATCATTCAGGATGAGTGGGGCTGAATAATACGCAGGCAGGGGCCATATTCTCGGCGTATCTGGCTGGGTTCGCTGTGTCGGCGCTCGTGGTAGTTCCACTGACGGACAGGCTAGGCTCCAAGAGAATCTTCGTGTTCTCGACTGTGGTGTCGGTAGCGGCGAATGTGCTATTCCCCATCGTAGCGCACGATGCGATCACGGCGTCCGCGCTCAGAGCGGTTGCCGGCCTTGGTCTCGTGGGAGTGTACAACCCTGGGATGCGGATTGTTGCAGAGCGATTCGCAAACAGGGGGCGGGGATTTGCAGTAGGGACATTCGTCACCTTCTTCTACGCCTCAAACAGCGTGTCGCTGACGTTGACGGGCATATTAATGTCCCAATTCGAGTGGCGGGACGCCTACCTGATAATGGGGGCAGCGTCGAGTGGGAGTGTGTTACTAGCACACTTGCTGCTACGCAACCACAAGTCGCAGACAAGTGCGGGATCTTCGGGTCGGCTGGACCTTTCGGCTTTGAGGAATCGGGTTGCGCGCGTTTACATCACGGGGTATTCCCTCCACGCAGCGGAGTTATACATCGTGCGCGTGTGGCTGCCTGCTTTGCTGGCTGCGGCAATGATAGCTCACGGCGAGGATGAGGTGAGTGCGGCAGTGGGAGCTGCCACTATCGGCGGGCTGGCGATGGCAAGCGGGGCGATTGGGCCCGTGATGGGCGGCGTAATATCTGATAGGTGGGGGCGCGCTGCGTCGGCATCCGCTATTTTCGCGCTGAGCGGTGTGTGCTCGTTCGCGGTGGGCTGGATGGTTGGGTTTCCATGGGCACTGCTGGTGGGCGTCTCCATTATTTACGGCTGGGCGATTGCAGCGGACTCGGCGATCTACTCTACTGCTGTCACTGAAGTTGCTGAACCGCAGCGACTTGGCTCGACAATGGCGGTGCATTCGTTTGTGGGTTTCATGGGCGGCGTGGTTGGACCTATATTCGCGGGCGCGATACTGGATGTTTCGCCCGAGGCGTTGAAGTGGGGGCTAACCTTCTCGGCAACGGGGATTTTGGCGATCGCGGCGATATGGGTAATGCGAGGGATGTGGAAAGAATGACGATGCCGAAAAGCCACGGAAATTGTATCTTTCCGATGGTTTGGCAAGGAGTCAGCTAGTAAGCTGTATTGAGCGTAGGCTCAAGGGCTTCCATAGTCATGAGCAAGGCACAAGATGACATTCACTTTGCCAGAAGCGACCATTATTTCCGCCATCAGTTGTGAATTGTTTCACGTCCCACTATAATTTACCGTAAGCGCCTGCGAGAGTTCTGCAACGGGGAGGCTGCAAATCGAGTGGACGCGACGTGTCATACCCATAAATCCGTCCAGACGGATTATCCCCATAAATCCATCCAAAGGGGGTATCAGACAATCATGAAGATATTTTTCTGTCCCGAGTGCGGCGCATACGATTTCGACGACGGCGAAATCTGCGTGGACTGCGACGAACCGATCCCTGCAGACAGCTGGGCGGATGTGAGCGAAGAGGAACTTGCGGAGCTGGACTACGCAGACGAGTTCGAACTTCCTCCCGGTCTGCCGTCCTGGGAGTACGAGGTTGTGCGGCTTGAGACGATCGCTGAGGACGACAAGCAGCAGTTCGCCATGCAGCTGCTAAACAAGATGGGCAGCAATGGCTGGGAGTTGGTGAGTATCGAGGCGGTTGGACAAAGCAACGATAGGCAGTATGGTGTGTTTCAAGCGCGCATGGGTCGAGGATTTCGGAATCTGAGCTAGCGTACTTCCCCGCCCTCTCGTTAGCCATTTTCTTCGGTCAGGTCGACTTCAGCTCCGCCGGACTGCGCCCCAGCTAACTACCCGCGCCGGCCTAATTCGGATTACAGTGCATCCGGGTTCCAGCATTCGGGTGTATTGCGGATACTTCTCTCGTAGCAGCGTTTCAGCGCGCTGTCTTTCTTCGCCGCTTTCGACTAACTCCGCTCTGCCGCGTATCATCACGTAGGCGAGTTTGTCCCAGTCTTCCGAATAATCGTCAATTACGAGCGCAACCGCTGGGTTTTCAAGGATGTTGCGGACCCGCTTAAGGGGTCTGCCGCCCGCGCGCTTGGGCTTGAGGTCGATGGCGCTATAGATGCACTCTCCGTCAAATGCGTAACAGATCGGGACGGCGTAGGGCGTACCGCCCGCGTCGGCTGTTGCAAGGCGGGCGATGCGGTGCATTCTTATGAATTCTGCTGCTTCAGGCGTGAATGTGTATTCCATATGCTGCGTTGGAGCCTGCCACTGTCTTGATCTTCATCTCAGAATGGGATTAGGTGCACGGTCTGGAACTAGATGCCCTGCCAGACGCGGCGTCCTTCGAGACGGACGAAGTGGCCATAACCTGGGTCGGGGAAGTGACCGGCAGACACAAGGGTTCCCTCCGATTCAAGCATGTCAAGGATGCGGTGGCGCGTAGGGCGCGATATGTCGGGCTGGATATCGAACATTGGGTTCCAGTCCGTGTAGTGCGCTTGCGCCGGGCTGTGGGCTACATCGCCGAGGACGAAGGCTCGCTCTCCGCCGGATGCTATCAGGAGCGAGGTGTGGCCTGGAGTGTGGCCGGGTGTCGAGATGGTGATGAGTTCGTCGGTTACCTTGTAGTCTTCGTCGAACAGATCCAGAAGGCTCAGCTCGGTTAGTGGCACTACGTGCTTCTGGACATGTTCGGCTGCCGCGAGCACGTCGGGTTGTAACCAGTAGTCGTAGTCGGACCTGGGGGCGATGTATCTGGCGTTAGGGAATGCGGGCTTGCCGGTGGACAAGTCGATGTTCCAGCCAACGTGGTCGGGGTGCAGGTGGGTCAGGAATACGATGTCGATGTCCTCCGGGGCTGCGCCTTTGGATCGCATGTCGTTGAGCAGGTCGCCGCCAGTGGCGGTCTGCATGCCAGTGTCCACCAAGATGAGCTTGCCCTGGGAGCGTAGGACGACCGAGCCGTACCTGGACTGAATCTCGTTGTTTCCATCCAGAATCTCGGGGAATTCCTGCCATTGGGCAATTTCGGTTTCGGGGAAGGTTGCGGTCGGGTCGCGCTTGGCGGAGAAGCCATCCTTGACGGACAGCACTTCGACATTGCCGACGGTGATCGTGTTATTTGCCATTGGTTTTCGCTCCTCTGCTCGGTTATCAATTCTGTTGTGGTGACTTTCATTAGATAGTTATCAGTAAGTTCGGGTATCGCTGCTCCCTGCTTACACAGGAACCTTCCTGGCGGGAATTACGGCACAAATTGAGATAAGTATATGTCTAGATGCCTTGCCAGATGCGACGACCGCCTTCGCGAACGAAGCGGCCGAATCCGTTGCCGGGGAAGTGGCCGGCTGATACGAGCACGCCTTCGCTCTCAAGACTGTCTAGTACGGAGTGCCTTGTTCTGCGGGACAGGTCGGGATCGACGTCGAATCCGGGACTCCAGTCGGTGTAGTGCGCCTGAGCGGGGCTGTGGGCGACGTCGCCCAGGATGTAGCCGCGCTCTCCTCGGGAGGAAATTACAATGGAAATATGCCCCGGAGTATGCCCCGGAGTGGCGACTGCCGTCAGTTCGTCGGTGATATTATAGTCAGCACTGCCGATGAGGTCGATGATGTTCAGGTCTTTAAGCGGCAGGGCCTGCTGCTTGATATGGTCGGCGGAATCGATAACCTCGGGCGATGTCCAATAGTCCCAGTCCACCTGCGATGCCAGGTAACGGGCATTGGGGAATGTGGGACTGCCGTCCGTGAGGTTCCAGCCGATGTGGTCGGGGTGTAGGTGCGTCAGAACTACGAGGTCAACCGCGGCGGGGTCGATGCCCTTGTCGCGGATGTCGTTCATGAGAGCGCCATCGGGAGCTTGCAGTCCTGTGTCAACGATTATGAGCTTGCCCGACGAGCGCACCCCCGTCGTGCCGAATCGAGGATGAATCAGGTCTCCGTCTAGGAGTTCGGGGTACTCTGACTGCCACTGCTCTAATGTGCTTGCCGGGAATACTTCCAGGGGCTGCATGTCGCCCTGTCCATCAGTAAGGGCGAGCATTTCCACATTTCCAATGGTAACGGTGTATTCTGCCATTAGTACCTCCGCCTAATTCTGGTATGATAGTCGCCTAATGTTAACCCGAAAGTGATACTGGTTCAATCACAGTAGAGTTATCAGCGCGTTAGCAATCGAAGAGTCAGGGAGAACGCCATGACGCAAACACACGAGGAAATACGGCTGACTGAACTTGCAAGTTGCGCGGGTTGAGCGTCGAAGTTCAGTCCTAAGGACCTGGCGCAGGTACTGCGTCAGCTGCCGACAATAGACGATCCTAATCTGCTCGTGGGAATCGCGACGGGCGATGATGCTGCCGTTTATAAGATGAGCGAGGATTTGGCTATCATCTCAACGGTGGATTCTTCCCGCCTATCGTTGACGACCCGTTCAAATTCGGCGAGATAGCGGCGACCAACGCGCTGAGCGATGTGTACGCGATGGGCGGCAAGCCGGTGATCGCGCTGAACATAGTAGGTTTTCCGGTGGACCTACCGCACGAGATACTTGGGCGGATTCTAAGCGGCGGCGCGTCAAAGGCGCAGGAAGCAGGCGTACTCATCGTTGGCGGACACACGGTTGACGACGCCGAGCCGAAGTATGGCATGTCCGTTACGGGCGTGGTCCATCCGGGCGAGCAGGTTACCAACGCGGGCGCAAAGCCCGGTGATGTCCTCGTGCTGACAAAGCCGATTGGGACAGGCATCATTACAACGGCGGGCAAGCAGGAACGCGTCAGTGCGGAGACACTGAACAGGGCAGTTTCGATTATGAGTGAACTGAACCGCAAGCCGGCGGAGGCAATGATGCACGTGGGCGTGAATGCGTGCGTGGACGTCACGGGGTTCGGGCTGTTAGGGCACTTGCGGTTGATTGCTCAGGGAAGCGGTGTTAGCGCACGGGTGAAAGCTAGCAATGTTCCGGTAATCGAAGGCGTTCACGAACTTCTTGAGATGGGGATTGCGCCAGGCGGCACTCATCGCAACCTCGAGTCCCTTGATGGCGTTGTGGACTGGCACGAGGACATTACTGATCAAACTCAGATACTACTTGCGGACGCACAGACCTCAGGCGGTCTGCTGATAGCGGTCGCGCCTGAGAAGAAGGACGCGCTGCTTGAGGCGCTTGAGGATGTGGGCATTCAGACGCGTGCGGTCATTGGCGAGATATTTGCGCGGGACCCTCAGGGAGCTGCGATTACGGTTGTGCCGTAGCGAAAGATTCCAGGTGTCAGGCATCAGTGGTCGGAGCTATGGCCTTGCGAGGTGGGGCTGGCTGGCTATTGCTCTCTTGATTTGGATGGCGGCATCTTCGGCGTGTGGGGATGCTCAAGGTGGCGATGCAGAGGCAGTCGTTACGATTACGTCCGTGCCAGCCGCTACTATGCCTGTGACGGTAAGCGCGCCACCTGAGAGCGCAAAGCCTATAATCGCGGCGACGGCTGCGAACATATTGGTCAGGGAGTTGCAGGCGGCGACGGCTACACCGCAGCTGGCTAGTGCGGTGGCCGCGCCGATTTCTGCGGGAACGGCCTTGGAAGCCGCGAGTTCTACGCAGAATGGGAATATTTCGGCAGATTCGGAGAAGGAATCGCCGACGCCGGCCGCTGCAGCGCCGGCTATACCGTTCGGCCCCACTGCTTTGCCGGTGTTCACGTCAACACCAGAGGCGACTTCAACAAGTCCAACTAATGCTGTAGTTTCGCTTCAGTCCAAGCCTTCTGAAACGCCAGTGAGGATGGCATCGCGCGCAGGGGAATTCACTCCAACCGCTACGCCCGCGGGGATGCCAACCGGTGTGGTAGTGCCTGCCTTGCCAGTTACACCGACATCGACCGCCGTTCCTGCGCCTACACCTACTGCGAGCCCGACACCAACGGCAACCGGGACGCCTTTGCAAACTGCCACCTCAACGGCAACGGTGCTCCCCTTGCCCACTTACACCGCGACCGCTACGGTTATGCCGACATTTACGGCAACGGCTACCTCTACGTCCACGCCTTTTGCGACTGTCACTCCGACTCATACACCCACGTATGCACCCACGCATACTGCTGTGCCTGAGCATTGCCGCATAAAGGGGAATATCAATATGGAGAGTGGTGAGCAGGGTATATCATACGCCGGACAGTCCGTGGTATGAGCGAACGGAGATTGACACGGAGGCGGGTGAGCGGTGGTTCTGCACCGAGCGGGAGGCGCAGGCGGCGGGATGGCGCGCTCCTAGGCAGAGGCAGGCTATGCCGACTGCGACGGCTGTTAAGAGCATCGCTCTACCGGTTGCGAATCGGTGGTGAACGTCAACAGGGCCGGTGTGGAAGAACTGGAGGAGCTACCGGGCATTGGACCTGTAAAGGCGCAAGCCATTGTGGACTATCGCAATGCCCACGGCGACTTTGCGAATGTCGAAGAACTCGATGAAGTGGAGGGGATAGGCGAGAAGACGCTAGAGAAAATCGAGCCTTGCGTAATCTTCGAGTAGCGAAGTGGGCTACGGTATCATGCCAGGAAATCGGTAGCGTATGGGCGATGGCTTTGGTATCGTTGTCTTAACTCGCATTTTGGAGAGAATGGTGTGACTGTTAGAGAACAAATCGCGGAACTTGTAAGGCAGGCTATCGACTCGGCGCAGGCATCTGACGCTTTACCCAAGGTTGAAGTCGAGGACATCGCGGTGGAGCGCCCGCAGAACGCGGAGCATGGGGATTTCGCCACTAGCCTGCCCCTAAAGCTTGCGCGGCCAATGCGAATGAATCCGCTGCAAATCGCGGAGCGTCTGGCGGCTCACATGCCGAATGGCGAACTGGGCGGCGGTTTGCTGGAATCTGCTACCGTAGCGAGTCCTGGATTCATCAACTTTTCGCTGAATCGCAACTGGCTGCGCGCGCAAATTGAGGCCATCAGAACGGACGGCGCTGCGTTCGGCGATGTGGATCTGGGCAAGGGACAGCGCGTGCAGATAGAATTCGTGAGCGCGAATCCGGTGGGCCCGCTGCATATCGCGCACGCTCGGGGCGGTGTTATCGGCAGCGCGCTGGCTAATATTCTGCAAGCGTCTGGGTACGATGTTACCCGCGAATACTACTTCAACGATGCTGGGGCGCAGATAGGGCACTTCGCCCGGACTCTGCAGGCTCGTTACTTGCAGCAGTGCGGCAGAGACGTCGAAGTTCATGAGGACGGCTATCAAGGCGAGTACATGATTGACCTTGCCGCCGAGATTTTTGGTGAAGAGGGCGAGCGCTTTCTTGAAATGCCGGAAGAGGATGCGCTTCGGACGCTTGGCGAGCTGGGCGTCGCCAAGTTCATGGATCGTATCCGCGAGGACCTGATAAAGTTACGAATTGAGTTCGACGAGTGGTTCAATGAGAAGACACTTTTCGTCAACGGTCAGTTCGAGGACTCGATGGCGCTACTGGAGGAAAAGGGGTATGTCACCGAGCGTGAGGGCGCGGTCTGGTTCGCTTCAACGCTGCTGGGGGACGAGAAGGACAAGGTGATGGTACGGGGTAATGGCATACCGACCTATTTCGCCTCTGATGTGGCGTATCACTACAACAAGTTTTTCGAGCGCAATTTCGACCATGTGATAAACATCTGGGGTGCGGACCATCAGGGACATGCGCTTTTCATGAAGGCGCTGGTTGCTGCGCTTGGGATGCCTGAAGATAAGCTGACTCTGATCATTAATCAGCTTGTTACGCTGAAGCGGGGCGGCGAGACGGTCCGGCTGTCAAAGCGCACGGGCGACATTATCACACTGCGGGAAGTGATTGACGAGGTGGGCTCGGATGCTTGCCGGTTCTTCTTCCTGTCAAGGGCCGCTGACAGCCAGATGGAGTTCGACATGGAATTGGCGAAGGAGCAGTCACAGGAGAACCCGGTCTATTACATCCAGTACGCCCATGCCCGAATAGCCAGCATTTTGCGTCTTGCGGAAGAGCGCAGCATCGACTGGAAAGACGGTGATGTGTCGCTGCTAGGGCATGACGCGGAGCTTGCGCTGATACGCAAGATGCTGGAGCTGCCGGAGCTTATCAGCATGATGGCTAACAACCTGGAAGCGCATCATCTGCCGCATTACGCGTCGGACCTGGCAACGGCGTTCCACTGGTTCTACCAGAACTGCCGCGTCGTATCCGGTGTCGAAGGTGAGGAAGAGTTGAGCAAGGCGCGGCTGAAGCTGGTGGACGCGGCGCGGGTGGCGCTGGCGCGCTGCCTCAGCCTGATGGTGATGGACGCGCCTGAGAAGATGTGAGGGACTTCCGACTCTCACCACCAAGCTAGCCCCTTCCATCAAGTAGGAAGGGATTGGCACTGACTTACTCCAGGTTTCCCTGCGCCTTGTACTTTTCCGTCTTTTCCATATAGACGTCGCAATACCATTTCATCTTGGCGAGATGACGCTCGCCGACTTCGCGCAGAACTTTGCCGGGCGAGCCTACGACGAGGGAACGCGGCGGTATCTTGACGTCGTCCACGAGCATTGTGCCGGACGCTATGAGGCTGTACTCCCCTATCTCCACGCCGTCGTTGAGGGTCGCGCCGTTGCCGATGACAGCGCGGTTGCCGACGTTCTTCGCATGGCAGAGCACCTTGTGGCCGATGGTCACGTAGTCACCGATTTCCACATCAGCGTCGCCGTGCACCGCGGAGTTGTCCTGTATGTTCGTGTGCTTCCCAATGACAATCTTGCCCATGTCGGCGCGAACGACTGCGCCGGGCCAGACGCTGGAGCCTTCTCCGATTTCGACATCGCCAATGACATAGGCGAATTCGCTGATAAATGCCGTGGGGTGGATTTTAGGAGTAGCATCTCCAAGGCTGCGTATCATATGGGCTTGCTCCTTAGTGTGTTGTCTATTTGTGCATTTTGGCTGCCAAGTTGCCACTTATCTAATCGAATTGGGGCACCCTAAGAGATCGGCAGTCGGTCAGTCTGATTTCAGATGTGTGTCCGCTGCACGAGCGCCTTGTATAGGTGAATCAGCCCCTGTTGACGCCTCGCAGTTAACTTCACTTCCTTGCCGATGTCGCATAGACGGCACATTTCGCGAGTAATTTCGTTGTCTTGAAGCTTTGGCGCGTCTGCGTAGGCTTCAAAGGCTGCGTTAGCGAGGGCCTCCCCGCGGCCTGACCGGGCGTGAGCGTGGAGGAATGGGAGGGCGACATTCACGAGCATGTCCCGGGCGCGGCTCCTGCCGATGTGCGGAGGACGTTCAAGGCGGGCGGTTAGCGATCTGTTGCCACCTTGCAGCAGTTCGCAGGCAAAGCCTTTTGCCAGTCCAGTGTCGAGGCAGTCGTCAATCAGTTTAGATGCGCCGATGATGCGCCGCACCGGATGGTTCGCGGGACGGACGCGGAAAAGGTGCCAATCACCCTTGCTCAACGACCTCGTTTGCGGTAGGCGCTTGCGGAGGCGACGCAGCTGAGTGGGATCCTCGGTTTCTTCCACAAGGTGCATAAGGCCGGATGCACCGAGAAGCATCGCCTTGAGTGCCAGCAGGCGCGTCGTCGGAGGTTCGTTCCTGAGGATCGCGAGGGTTTCGTATAGTACGTGCTGAGCAAGGATGCGGAAGGGCTCACGGTTGGATGCGTAGCCGAGGGAATCCATGATGCCGCCATACAGCGCCTGGTCGGAACCGACTTCTTCGATTTCCAAAGTGAAGCCGTGACTCTTTGCCAGAAAGCGCGCATCTCCGGCGGCGTCAAGGGCCGAGGCTATGTCCGTGCTGTGGCGCAGAGCTTCGAGTGAGGACAGGCTCGGCGTACTGTCGGTGTTTGCATTGTCGAGGTTGTGCGCTACTGCTTCGAGGGCGACGACGGGAGCTTGTGCACCGGACTGCTGGCTGGTGCTGTGGTGTCCCTTAGGCGAAAAAACTACGTGGAGAACAACGCCGTTGTAATTAGGGTCTGAATGGTGACCGTGAGTGTACCAGCCGGGCGCAGTGGTATGCAGTTCGACATCTCCGGTGAGTGCGCTGCCGTCTTCCTGAAGGAGCACGGCGTCACGGAAGTCGGGCCCGGCGCGGGCGCTTGGTCGTCCAGGGTAGATGACGCGCATCCGCTTGCCGCCTTCGGTTATGAGCGCGTCCGCAAGCGTGTGAGCGCGGCTCCAGAGCGCGGAGAGGGCGCTTTCGGAGTAAGCGGCTGGCCGTTCGGCGATGGTGGCGAGCATGGTGGTGTCACTCGTCGTCCGCGTGTTCGAGGCATTCGTGGCAGATGCCGAAGAGGGCTATATGATCTATATCGGGCTGGAACCCATAGTCTCCCATTATTTCCGCGCCTATGTTCTCCCAGTACTTGTGGTCTAGCAGCACTACTTTGTCGCAGCCGCGGCAAATCAGATGGTGGTGGCGCAGGTGGTTAATCCATTCGTAGCGGTACTCGCCCCCGCCCATATCCGTCTCTGAAACGAGGCGCATCTGCTTGAGGACGCCGAGCGTGCGATATACGGTGGAGACGTCGATGTATGGGTAGGAAGCCTTCACCTGATCATAAATTTCCGATGCCGTAACGTGCACATCCGAGTGGCGTATTACAGAGAGTATCATGAGGCGCTGCGGCGTCAGCCTGTGGCCCGATTCTCTGAGTGCCTGGGCGGTCGCCTGTTCACAACTCATGTGTGGCTCCTGTGGAGAAGTTGGTCAGTTCGTCAGAGTGGCAGTCGGTCAATTCCGATGCCTCTACCTACTGCTTGGAATGCAATCTGCGAATGTAATAATGTCTGAGCGGATAGACTGAACAGCCATGGTGTTCCCCCTGATAGTATCAACCCTGACGCCAGTAGTCTATAATCGGCGATCCTATATCATTGGGTGACACCAATATTCGGACAGGTGACATGTCAATGGACGATGTTCAACGACTGAAAGAATTGATTGAATCCGGAGCTCTGCTGCATCCGGTATCGGAGGCGCTGAGCATAGTTGACCTCGCTAATGCGCTGCACAACCTAATGGGGGTACCGGACGTATTTCTCAATGACCGGGCAATGGGCGTCAAAAGGCTCATCGGTGAGCCGGGACACCTCGTACTTTTGCTGGCAGATGGGTTCGGGATGAACTTTGTGGAAACACTCGATGAAGGCGCGTTTATTCGCAGGCATCTCGCCGCCGAAATGCGAACAGTGTTCCCTTCCACAACGCCGATCGTTCTGACAACGCTTGCGACTGGGGAGTGGCCCGGAAGGCACGGAGTAATTGGCTGGTTTCTGAGACTACGAGAAATCGATGCCGTGTCCACGATAATCAGTTACATACGCACGGCGGACAAGAAATCGCTGTCGGAATTTGGCGTTTGCGCATCAGACGCCTATCCTGTGCCTTCGCGCATTGGGAAGGCAAGCCGGGAGGTGCTGCATATTATGCCGCAGCAGATTGCCGGCAGCGCTTATTCCAACTACTGGACTGGCGGCACTCCACAGGCAGGCTACGATGTGGGGTCGCCGGAACAAGCGATTGAGATGGCAATTAGGCACCTCCGATCGGCGCAGGGGCCCACCTGCACGTATCTTTACATCCCGTACGTTGACAGCGCGGCTCATAAATTGGGCTCAACCCATAGTGATACGTTGAATGCGACAATGCAAATTGATCGACTGCTAGAGTCACTTGCGGGTATGCTGCCATCGAATTCGAGGTTGGTCATGACAGCGGACCACGGTCACCTGGATGCGCCTGACCACAGGAACTATAAGCTTGGTGCCTCGGACGAGATTATTAGCTTGTGTAATGGGATGCCGACTGGGGATCAGAGGGCGATGTACGCCCATGTCATGGATGAGAGCCTGGAGGCCTTCAGAGCTAAGATACACGAGCGATTTGGCGACGATTTTCTTGTGCTTGCGGCAAAGGATATCGAAGAGCTTGGACTGCTGGGTGTCGGGACGCTGTCGGATGAAACGCGCTACCGAATGGGGAACGCACTGGTGTTGTCCACAGGTGATGCCGTGCTGGACTATCGGGCCCTGCTCGGTGACGAAAGGCACCCAATGGTTTCGCATCATGGGGGGCTGACGCCTGCGGAGATGCGAATTCCGCTGGTGGTGGCGTAGAGGCTGCTGTCTCGGCATCGACGCACTGTGGGCGGGACGGAAGGGATCGCTGCGTACTGTTCAGGCACGGCGGGTATCAATTCTTCAAGAGCATTCCTGGCTGGCAACGGCGGCAATAGCTGGTGATGCGTTTGTTGGCGGTAATCTGGCTAATGGCATTACCGCAGCGTGGGCAGGGTTCGCCTCCCTTGTTGTGGACCTGCAGGAAGTCGCGCGCCTTCAAGTGGATGTCTTTTCCGATGCGTTCGCGGACCAGTGGGATCGCGTCGGACACGACCCGCCGAGACTGGTCGTAGAGGCGGCGAAGTTCGTCTTCGGACAGCGCCTTGCGCCTGCGGAAGGGGTATATCTGCGCTGCGAATAGAATCTCGTCAGACCAGGCGTTGCCGATGCCCGATATGACGCGGCCCCTGGTGAGTACGCCCTTTATTTCGCCATGGAAGCCTTTTCAGGCGCTGCTTGAAGTCTTCAAAGGTGTAGTCGTCGAGGACATCGGGGCCTTGCTCGTGCAGCCTAGGGATTTCGCCTACCTGCTCCTCGCCAACGTAGTAGACCATGCCCATTTGCTTGTCGTCGATGTATCGAAGTTCGCTGCCATTGGAGAGGGTCAGAGTGAGACAGGTGCGTTTGTAAACACGGCGCTTTGGAGCACAGTATTGCAGCGCGCCTGTAAGCATTGGATTGATTGACAGCAAGCGTCCGCCGGTAATGCCAATCAGGATGAACTTGCCGCGCCGCTCCACGCTTTCGAAAGTACGACCGGGCAAGTCCTGCGTGATGTCACCGCAGAGGGAGCGAAGGACGCTTGGCTTCAGCACTGCAGCGTCGTCTATTCTAACTCCGATGATGTTTTCGACTAGAAAATCTTTGACCACTTCAAGCTCAGGCGCTTCGGGCATGTACTGTCCCTCTTTTGCTGACCTGGATGGAACCCCAAGGATGAGTCTAGGCTGATGACTTGAGTGTACCATTGTGCCGAGAGCTAATTGCAAGGTGGTGTGTGCTAGAATTGGGGCGCTAAGTCTGATTGATGCGGGGCGCTTTGGGGCGCAACCGTGATGTAAGTAAGTTAAGGAGAGACGAATGGAGAAGCGACGGTTGGGCAGAACCGACCACGAAAGTACGGTGGTTACATTCGGCACTGCGGGTATTGGGCGCGTGAGCCAGGAAGTTGCAGACAGGGCCGTCGAGCAGATACTTGAGCACAGAGTGAATCATATAGACTCGCGCCGACTTACGGCGAGGCGATGGAGCGAATGGCGCCGTGGATGCCTAAGCTACGGGATAGTATGTTCCTTGGCGCGAAGACGCGAGAGCGTACTCGCGAATTGGCATGGGCGAACATCGAGAGTTGCATGAGCAGGCTGGGCGTGGGGTCGTTCGACCTGTTTCAGCTACACTCGGTCGGCACAATGGAGGACCTTGACAAGGTAACGGGCAGCGGCGGCGCGCTGGAGGCGCTGGTGGAACTGCGCGAGCGCGGTCTGACGCGATGGGTGGGAATAACTGGGCATGGGCCGGATGCTCCGCGCGTACACCTGGAGGCGCTGAGGCGGTTCGACTTTGACACGGTGATGTTTCCGCTAAATGCCACACTGTATCGCAATGATGAGTATCGGGAGCATGCTGAGGAGCTGCTGTCGGTGGCGAACCAAAGGGACGTGGGCGTTCACACCATCAAGATGCTTGCGCGTGGGGGCTGGGGCGACCGCGAGCGGGAGCACACGACATGGTACGATCCGCACCGCGAGCAGTCGGAGATTGACAGAGCGCTCTGGTGGCTGCTGTCACAGCCGATGCACACCGCACCAAGCGTGGGTGATGTAGAGTTGCTGCCGCGCGCTCTGGATGCGGCGCAGCGATTTAGTCCGCTGAGTAACGATGATCAAGAGGCCGTTGTGGTTGGTCAATGCCCTCCCCTCCCAGAGCCGGGACTGGGGATATTGGCTGCGGACTGAGGAAGTTTATTAGGATGCAGGAGTTTGTGAGGACGGGTTCTCCTTAGTGGCGACTACTACATAGACGGGGTCGGTGTAGTGCGGCGACTGGGGAGAGATGTTTAGAGCGCGGATATTTTCCCAGCCTCCTGAGTTCTGGAAGTATGATGCGATGAGCGAAGCGCGCTGCTTGTCATCCAGGGACTGCCAGATCGCTACAGCCTTTGTCGGGAACATCCGATTGGAATAGATTACATGGAATGCGGCGCCCGGGATCAGGACACGATTGACTTCCCGAAATACCTCGACGGGCTTGACCATGTACTGGATGGATACAGTCACAACGGCGGCGTCAAGGCTGCAATCTTCGAGAGGCAATTTCGGGTCGGCGTTGAGGTCGTGGACTATGCGGTCGTGCAACTGGGGATTCTCGTTGAGTTCGATTGCATTCAGTCCGAGCCCTATCAGACGACTGATGGGCAGGTCATGCGGCATGTGCGAGCGCCAGCTGGACATCAGGTCTAGGATGTCGCTGTTGCGCGGCAGAACCTCGCTGAAATAGGCGCTGATCGCGCCGATCGCGGGATAGTCGATGTGGACGACAAGTCGCGGCTCGCCATAAAAGAGGCTGTCATCAGACTCATCGTGCCGCCTGAACAAGTCGGGTGGATAGAGGCTCTGCCCTTCGCCCTTTTCCAACGGTATATGACCTCAACCAAGTTTTGAAGAATAGACGGTAAGAGTGGATTCAATGGCTAGCAAGTGGGATTTAGGCAAGGACGACTGGATAGATGCGGCTGACGAGGCTTTGGAATTCGTGGAGGATGTGGACGCGCGCGGATTGATCCTTTATCGCTTCGAGGGGCAATATCTGCCAGCGCTCCAGAAGGCTCGAAATGCTGAGCAGATTTGGAGGGCGTGGAATGCCTTCTACAGCTACCTCACATTTCGGGAGTCGCGACGAAAATTTTTCTCCTTATCGGACAATGACGCGCTAAAGGTTATAGCGACCTTGACCGATGTCCTTGAATTGCCTCCCTATTCGGCGGACTAGCAAGGGCATCGGTGGTTAGGCATGGGAAAATCGGGAGTCGTCTTTAACTCACTGTGGAATTTGGGTTTCTGACAGAGAGGCCATCAACTACCTTGTCGCGATCAGTGCCGGACGACCAAGGGGTGGGAATTACGTTGGTGCCGAAGAGTTCGACTAGCTGCTTGTCCGGCTCGCCGTCTATGAGGTGCTCGGTGAACCAGCCCTCATCTTGCTGAACGACTTTAATCTCGCGGTTCTCGCCTGTCCATCCGAAACTGACCATCACGGGTGCGTCCATCTTTTGTCTCCTATAAATGCTTGATGCATGCATTGGTGGATTGATTGAGACCTCAGATACCAGGGAAGCGTCGTTGGGTTTCTACCGTTTCACGCTTCAATGTTAGATTTTAGAAAACTGGTTACCAGATAGTCAATATCCATGTCATTTAATTGAAGATCTGGCGGCTACGACAACGAGGAACGCCGCTCACTTTAGAAGGTGAGCGGCGTTCTGATTGGCTATTGCCTTACCGCACAATTGCGGCTGATCCCGAATTTAGTTTCGGGACGCGCCTGACCTGAAGCAGTCGTAGCAGTAGACCGGGCGTGCGCCAGTGGGCCTGAAAGGAACCTCGTCTTCCTTGCCGCACTCTGCGCAGGTGATGGAGTAGGTCTGGCGACTGCCGCCGCCGAATCCACCGCCGCCACCGCCACCGCCGCCGAATCCGCCACCACCGCCGGCACCGCCGCGGTTATAGGAAGCGCGACGCGAGCGCCGGCAATCCAAGCAGCGCTTAGGCTCGTTGGTGTAGCCTTTCTCCGAATGATACTGCTGATCGTCAACAGTAAAGATGAAATCCGAGTTGCAATCCGAACATTGAAGCGTTCTATCCTGAAAGACCAATTTGATCTCCTTAAAGAAAAAAATTCGTTGCCTACTGAATATCGCCGGGGCATCCGAATCTGCTTCAGGAGTCGCCGGGTACTATTTTCAGAACAACCAAGCCAAGTATAACACAGAGAGTGAAGGCAATCAATTGAATTGTGAATGTTTTGACGCCAGAAGTTGACCGAGAAAATGTCGGCTGGTAACTTTAGGCGAGCAACCCGAGAGAAATGACGTCTTCGGAGGCAGCATAATTCGGGGAAAGTAGGATGAAGGCTATGAACATTGCCCCATCAGACATACGGCGCGTTGCGGTGCTGGGCGCAGGCACGATGGGGGCGCAGATTGCAGCGCTAATTGCGAGTTGCGGCGTGAAGTGCGATCTGCTGGACTTGAGCGTTGATATGGTCGAGGAAGCCCGGCGACGACTTATGACGATGCGGCCCCGGGTCGTGGATGACCACGCTGTGTTGGAGCGTATTCGGGCGGGGTCTTTTGGGACTGATCTGCATCGACTCCGGGAGTCAGACTGGATTATCGAGGCGATCGTAGAGCGGGAACAGCCTAAGCTGGAATTGTGGAGCGAAGCGGCGCTATATGTGCGAGGAGATGCCGTGCTGAGCACGAACACTTCCGGCATACCGATCGCTCAGATCGCGAGGGCGCTACCCTCGGCGGCTCGAGGACGGTTTCTTGGGACGCACTTCTTCAATCCGCCGCGCTACTTACATCTTCTTGAAATCATTCCCACCGATGAGACTGAGCCTAGCGTGGTTGCCGCGGTTAGAAGTTTCGCGGAGGATGTGCTTGGGAAAGGTGTCGTGGAGGCGCACGATGTGCCGGGGTTTATCACGAACCGAATTGGCTGCTTCTATTTCCTGTCGGCGATGAGGGCGGCGGACGAGTACGGCTTGACACCGGACGAGGCCGATGCAGTGTCGGGTCCGATGATGGGGCGGTCGAACAGCGCAACATTCAGGACGATAGACATCGTGGCGTGGATATACTGTTGGACATATGCGATAACACACGCGCTGCCGTTGAATCAGAGGCGGAGCAGAGGGCTTTTGAGCCACCGGAGTATCTGCGGGAGATGCGTCGCAGGGATTGGCTGGGCAACAAGAGCGGGCAGGGCTTCTATAAGCGTGTGAGGCAAGGCGGCGAATCGCGTATTCTGGCTCTGAATACTGGTGAAATGAGTTATGCCGAGCGCCAGAAGGGATGCGACTGGCAGAATTGTCAGAAATAAGAGCGATAAAGGATACGGGTGAACGGCTTAGAAACCTAGTCGTATCCGGCGACTCGACAGGGCGCTTCGCATGGCGCACGCTTTCAGCCTTGATGGCGTTCTCGGCGGCGAAGGTAGGCGAGGTTGCGGATGATGTGGTGAGCATCGACAGGGCGATGCGCTGGGGGTTCAACTGGGAACTCGGACCTTTTGAGACTTGGGATGCTGTTGGGAGTGGCGGAAACGGTGAAGCGTATGGAGGCTGATGGTCTGGAGTGCCAGGATGGGTGAGGACATGGCGGGGAGTGGCGGAAGCTTCTATTGCTGTGAGGACGGGAACCTGATGCAGGCTACGTCATTTGGCAATTATTCGTCGGTCTCGGACTGAGGTCGGATTGTGTCTGCCGAATCCTGCCCGCTTTGCCTCTCTGCGGGCACGAGGCCGTTTCACAAGGGCGGCAAGGCGTCCGGCTACCGTGACTTTTTCCAATGCGGCGAATGTGACATGGTATTCGTGCCGCGCTCGCAGCTGCTCGACGCGGCAGACAGAAGCTCGCTACTTGGCAGCATAACAACGATATTGACGATCCTGCGTACCGCGAATTTCTAGGAAGAATGTACTATGCGCTGCGCCCTCATCTGAAGCCGGGAGCTCGAGGGCTGGACTATGGGGCTGGACCGGGGCCTGCGCTGCAGCGGATGATGATAGAGGACGGCTTTGAGGCGTACACCTATGACATCTTCTTTTATCCGGACGAAGCCGTATTATCAACCACATATGATTTTGTAACATGCACTGAGACGGCGGAGCACTTCGACGACCCAAGGCGAGAATTCGACTCGCTGGACGGCCTGATGCGCTCCGGCGGCTGGCTAGGTGTAATGACCGGAATGTTGGAGCAGTGGGATGAATTTCCCGGATGGTACTATCATCGCGACCCAACGCATGTGAATTTCTTCAGCAAGAGTACGATGCAGTGGATTGCGAGACATTATAACTGGGGTGAATGCTTCCCGAGGGAGAATGTGGCGCTGTTCAAAAAGAATTAAGTGTGGGAAATAGAGCGAGCGCCGATGCACGTGAACTTGCCGCGTAGTGCGGAGAGGCGGTGCTCGTTGAAATGAGGTGCTTGTTCGGCTATACTCGGCGCAAGTGACACGGTTCTGAGGTTCATCTAACAGTTCAGGAGGTCAGTTATGGTAAAGCCAAGGCAGTTGGGACATTTGGTTCTCCGTGTGCGTGATCTGGAGGCGTCTGAGAAGTGGTACTCCGAGGTGCTGGGGCTTCACACTACGACCAAGCGCCCGGGCGGTATGACATTCATGAGTGCAAAAGAGGGATCTTCCCACGAATTGGCCCTGATGAGTGTGGGGCCGGATGCACCGGGTCCGGAAGAGACGCGTGTCGGTCTATATCACTTCGCGTGGGAGATGGATTCGTTCGAGGACCTGAAGGAACTCTACGAGCACATGAAGGCGAAGGACGTGAACATCGGCGGCATCGGCGACCACGGCATTTCGATGGGTGTGTACCTCTTCGACCCTGATGGCAATGAGATCGAGGTCTATTACGAGATGCCCAAAGAGGAATGGCCGGATAGCGAGTATCTGTTCGCGGGAGAGTATCCGGAGAAATTGGAAGCGGAAGAGGTGGCGGTGTAGGCAGGCTTTGATGTAGGCAGGCGCTGGTGATGCAGGTCATCCAGCGCCTGCTTTTTATTCAACTGTTCTTACGAAGAAATTCGATGGACGCGACTAAGCCGGGGAGGTTCAATATGTAAGCCAGGCGGTTGTCATAATTGTGATCCAGTACGCGACCTGACGTCTCTGAGAGATGTATTCGGAGGTTCTGGGGCTTAAGACGATGAAGAAGTACCCGGAGGATGACATTCATGAGCGCATAGGCTGACAGCCACTCACGATTGGCATTGTCCAACGTCGGTCTGATGCGCCTGGTCTGATTCACAGTCGTGTCGGACTGAACCACGTTCGCGCTGGGGAGATGGACTCGTGCGAGACCTCAGGCGAGACTCTACGAGCACCTGAAGGCGAAGGATGTGAACATCAGAACCTTGGCGACCATGGCTGTGCTCCCGGCTGTGGATATCATCAGACCCGGCCGGAACGGGATTGAGTCTATTACGAGATGCCGAAGGAAGAAAAGTGGCGGAAGAGAGCGTGCTGTTCAGAGGGGAGTTACCGTGAAGCTGGAGCCGAAGAGTTACGGGTCTACCGGGATTCGGGGTTTATTTCTACGAGCACTCGCAATCAACAGCACTCCTGCCCATTCAGGAGTGCTTCCTTTTGTACTTACTAACTTCGCGCACGAGGCTGCCGAACGCTGCGGTCACTGACGAAGGGTCCCAGCCTCCGGCCTACTGCAAACGGCTCCCCTTCTCATCGATGACGATGATCCCCTGCCTAGCTTCCCGCCCGTCCCCGGATACCGTCAATCCGCGTTGGCATGGCCTGCTCAACGGATTCGATTGCCTCTGCCGACGCCGTGAAAAGTATCCCCCTCATGATCCTCCCGCCCGCCAAGACGAGTTCGAGCCAACTGGAAGGGAAGGTCGCTTTCAGTCGCGCGTCAATGGGAATATCTGTGGCGTGGAGCCGATTTTTTGTCCGCGCGCCGTGCGCCTACTTTGCTTGCACGGCAGAGCTTGCCAAGGTCGTCAAGCAGCCCGTCGCTAATATCCATCGCGCAGCGGACACCAACGTGCGAAAGCACCTCCCCTTCGACTACGCGAGTTATCGGGCGGTTATGGGCAGCTACCAAGTAGGCATAAGCTCCAAGGCCGCCGCGCCGTCCCGCGCCTTCGGTAAGCAGCTTGAGGCCCGCGCCTGACGAACCCAGATTGCCTGTGACGACTATCCGGTCGCCGGCTTGGCCGGTCATGGACGCAAGCATGAGTTGTTCATGTTTTCATGGTGCCCCGGAGGTCTGCACCTTCCAACTCAACAGAGATGAAGATGCACGTGCGATTTCACGGGGCGCGCGTCGTGCCTCCGTAAACATACCAAAAAAAAGAAGGAGGTACAGTGGAACCCAGAGAACAACAGCAAAACAAGAGTAGATGAGTAAACCGGTTAGAGAGTCCAATCGGGGTATCCCAGGTTGGACATACTCGATGTGTCACGTAAGCCGTCGGTATCAAGGGGGAGAAGGGGTATCGTCGACGGGCAGTACACCCAAAGCGTTACTGGTGTGCTATGGATGCAGTGCTGCTCGTCTGAGCGCACCATACGATTCAATGCACCGCGACGTCGCTGATGTTGGTCGCCAAGCCTTCCAAACCAAGGTCGCGCCAGCCAGGTACGCAAGTCGAGTGCGCCCTCGACCATCGTGTCTGCCGTGTGAGACGCGCACGACCTGAGACGGGGAGCTCCAGCCGCCGCATCGTCGCGAATGGCGCGCAGCATTGGAATCCGCGCTCATCCAAGGACTTAATACACTGCTGATTGCGGTCGGCTATGGCAGACGCGAGCGCGTCTATAAGTTCAAATTCGCCTAATTCTCTAACTAGCATTGCGCACGCATTATATCCAGACTGCTGCGGCTCTCTCAACAATGACATGGCGGGGGTTGTCATGGTGATAGACAGGACGCGCATTGAGGGATTACGATAGGTCGGGTTCAGGTTACCAGATACGATGGGAGACAGTAAGTTGGCATTTACAGACATTATCTACAGCAAAGTGGACGGAGTGGCTCGAATTACGATTAACCGTCCGGAGGTGTATAACGCGCTGAGGGGCAAGACCACGGACGAGATGGTGGTTGCGCTGCACGATGCGCGAGACGACGACAGCATCCGCGTAGTCGTTATTGCGGGATCGGACCGAACGCATTCTGCTCAGGGCGCGACCAGGCGGAGGACCGCTCCAGCCCCGAGTACAGCGGAGCGAGCGAAGAAGACTTCATGAATATCATCCGGCGATTGCCGAAACCCGTCATAGCGGAAGTGGACGGGTTTGCCATTGGTTCCGGCAACATACTGGCGTACATGTGCGACTTCACAGTGGCGTCGGAACGCTCCACATTCGGGCAGACCGGGCCGCGTGTGGGCAGTCCGGCTGCGGGCTTTGGCGTAGGCTACCTCGCCAGCGTGGTAGGGCAAAAGAGGGCGCGGGAAATCTGGATGCTTACTCAGCAGTATTCGGGCAGGAAGGCTTATGAGTTCGGATTGGCGAACTCGGTGGTGCCGCATGAGCAACTGCGCGCGGAAGTCGATCGGTATTGCGCGCTGATAAAGAATAACAGCCCCGTGATACTGCAGTTGGAGAAGATCACATTCAACGAGATGACAGAGTATGCGGAATCCATTCCGAACCCGACCGACCGGTATGCGCGTGATTACATAATGTCCGAAGAGGCGGAGGAACGGCGACTGTCGTTCATAGAGCGGCGTCCAATTGACACGTCGAAGAACATGCCGCTCGTTAAGACCGACAAGAACTGACAGGTAATATCAGGACAGGATCAAAACCATGAGCAATAATTCGGGTGTCAATCTAAGCATAAATCTGCCATTTGCAGCGGCCGGCGTAGCATTCAACATAAAGGTAGAGGCTGCGGGTGACGGACCGTCCAAATTTGGCTTGAACGCGACGGACTTGAGCGGCAAGAATGCCTTGCCTTTCACAGTCGATGTATCGCCGTGTCTTGCGGACTGGGTGCGGGGATACTCGCGCTGGCTGGTGCGCGCAGGTGTGAGGGCGAATCACAACTCGATACGCATACAGGGCACCTTCCGCGACGGGATGACGGCTGAGCAGACTCTGCTTGGCATGCGCGAAGCATGCGACATGATACGGCAGCGGTTTGAGCTTTACGAAGAGAGCGTCATTCTTTAGAACTTCCCTGCCCTAATCTTCGTCTTTTATCCAGGTCATCCTGTAGCCGTTCATCAGCTCTTCGATCTCCTGTAAGTCGTTTGCGGTCAAGACCCAATCCGCGCCTTTCGCGTTGTGATAGACCTGCTCGGGTGACTTGGCGCCGACAAGCGCGGAGGATACGGCAGGGTTCGCAAGCACCCATGCGATGGCGAGCTGTACAATGTCTCTGCCGTTGTCACGCGCCCAGCAATCGAGATGCTGCGCGACCTCGTAAACCTGTTCAAAGTCATGACCGCGGAAGAAACTGAAAAGCCTGCGCTCATCGTCGGGAGCGAATTGGTGACCGGGCTTGTGCTTTCCAGCCAGAACTCCCTTTGACAGAACTGAGTGCGGTATGACGCCGATGCCGTTTGCAGGCAATATGGCAGCACATCAGTCCTCAAGGTTCGCGCCACATCAGATTGTAGCGGGGCTGCGAGCTATGAATGGTGGCATACTTCATAGCTTCCCGTGTCTGCTCAGGCGAAAAGTTGGACACGCCAATGAACCGAACTTTTCCGGCATCGCGCAACTTGACCATGTTTTCCATTGTGTCGGCAATGGGCCAATCTGGAGACGGGCTGTGAAGCTGATAGAGGTCGATATAGTCCGTGCCGAGTGTGGTGAGGCTGTTCTCGAAAGCGTTCGCCAAGTGTTCGGCGGAGTGGTCGCTTCCTGACAGCTTAGTCGCGAGAAAGACTTCATCACGCCTGCCTCTGATTGCCTTGCCTACGACTGTCTCGCTGGACTGGTACCCTCGGCAGTGTCGATGAAGGTCATGCCGACTTCAAGGGCCGCTTCAACCGCGGCTATGCCCTGCTCTACCGGCACATGTGCCAGACCGCCGCCGATGGGCCATGCTCCAAAGGCTATGGCGGAGACCAGAGGGCCGTCTTTGCCAAGTTGACGCTTTTCCATGCAGGATGTTACTCCAATCTACTTTCAATATCCCGGCTGTATCTGATCAAGAGGTATCCAAGCGCGCCGGCAGCCAGCGAAGCGATGAGAATAGCCAATTTGGATTGCAAAACCAGCGCCTCGTCAGTGAATGCCAATCCGGTTACGAAAATAGCCATCGTAAAGCCGACGCCTCCGAGCAGCGCGGCCCCTGCAATCTGCACCCAGCTAATATCTCTTGGGAGCGATGCAATCCCCGTTTTGACCGCAATCCACGCGAATAGAATTATGCCAATTGGCTTGCCGATAACAAGTCCGACAATTATGCCAACCGTGACAGGAGAAGCAAGCGCTCCTGCGGCGCCTTCGCCCAGAGATACACCTGCGTTCGAGAGGGCGAAGACGGGCATAATTGCGAACGCTACCCACGGATGCAGGACATGTTCAAGGCGCTGAAGTGGCGACTCGACCTCCTTAGACGCATCCTCTAATTCCTCAAGTACGCCTCGCTGCGTCTCTGTTGTCAGGGCATAGGTGCCGCGACGAGCGCCGCCTGAGCCTTCGCGCTCAAAGAGGTCCATCAGTGTCCTGCCACGTGCAACAAACTGCTCAGGATCAATGCGGACTCGCATAGGAATGGTCATTGCGATGAGTACACCGGAGACGGTGGCGTGAATGCCGGACTCGAAGAAGGAGACCCAGATGACTACGCTTACCAGAAAATACACAAGGGTGTTGCGAACGCCGGATACATTTAGCGCGACCAACAGGAATAGCAACCCTACACCGACTCCCAGATTTACCCAGTTGATTGTCTCAGTGAAGAAGATCGCTATAACAGTAATTGCGCCTATGTCGTCCACGATGGCGAACGCGGTCAGAAAAACCTTCAGAGACAGCGGCGCTCGTGTGCCGAGCAATGCCAGCACTCCGAGCGAGAAAGCGATGTCGGTTGACATGGGGATGCCCCAGCCACGCGCCGCTTCGCCATCGCTGTTGAGAAGCAATAGAACGCAGCCGGGAGAATCATTCCGCCAAGAGCCGCTACGATGGGAAGCGTCGCGCGACGCACTGACGCCAGTTCTCCGAGAAGAAGGGAGCGCTTTATCTCAAGTCCGACGACGAAAAAAAACACCGCCATTAGGGCGTCGTTTATCCAGAAGTGGAGTGTCTTGTCCAACAGAAAATCGTGAAACCCGAATGCTAAGTGAGTTTCCCAGATTTCCTCGAATGCGTGGTCAAGTGGGGAGTTTGCCAACACAAGTGCTGATACTGCGGCAATCAGCAGAAGAATGCCGCCCGCAGCTTCTTCGTGAATGAACCGCTGTACAGGGACTAGCAGCCTGTCGATGGGCGGCTCTTCACGGTGGCGTAATCTGTTGATTAGTCTCTGCATCAAGGCGTTGCTGTCGATCTTGGTTTAGTTGGCCGCCGGTGCACCACTCTACTGACCGTCGTGCAAGAGGTACATTGACGGCCTGTAAACCGAAATCAGGGAGCCGCTGCCATACCCTAAGTTGCCGCTGCCACCACTCAGCAGAGCTGTTTCATTACCCATAATCACGGCGGAGGCTGCGCTGAGGGAGATTGGCACACTTATGCCGGTTGGCACTTCGACTCGGATGCGGACGGCGTAGGAGATAACACCGCGCTCGGTGCGCGCCTCGCTGCCGATAAAGCTGACGCTGCCGCCAAATGTAGTGTCACCCACACTCTCGATGTTGACGACGGCGGTCGCGCCTTCCCTGACATATGGTCTGCCAGACGCGTCGATTACGCCCTCTATCTCAACCACATCAGTCGAGACGATGCTGATGGCTATGAGTTCGTCGCCGACCGGGTCGTCAACCTCGACATTGACGAGTGCAACCACGCCGTCCATTGGCGATGTGATTGTCGCTCCATCAAGGGCTTCCCGCGCCTTGTCCAACGTTGCCTGTGCCAGAGCGAGTTCCGCTTCCGCCGCCCTTATCTGGTCGCGCACCAGGTCCTGGACGACATTGACGTAGGGTCTCAGTCATTCCTGAGGGCAGCGGACGCGAGTTCGAGATGCCTTCCCGCCCGCCCTACATGAAGTTCGTCGTCCTGCGCACGGTCGAGCGCGTCGTTGGCTTCCACGAGAGCGACTTCTGCCTGGCTGAGCGCCGCACGCGCAAGCGCGACATTGAGCGGGTCGATGTCGACTGTCAGTTCGGCAAGATCGTCTTCGGCTTCCTGCAGGGACGCCTCCGCGAGCTGCAGGCGCTTCTCGGCACTCTCCACGAGGCTGGCATCCGGACCATCCTCCAATTCCTGGAGAGCATCCTGGGCGTCAGACAGAATGGCTTCCGCGGCAGCTACGGCGTCTTCGGTCTGTTCAGTTGTCGTGGCTACGTTGTTGCGCGCCGCTTCGAGGGCATCTTGCGCCCGATCATAGGCATCGTAGGCGTTTTGCAGTTCACGCGTAATACAGCGCTGTGTCCTGGCGAGCGCGTCTTCGTCCGTACAGGTCGGAACTATTCCGCTGAAATCCACGCTGAGGTTGAGCCAAGCCCAGATCGTCAGCTCGTTCCATCGGGTGTCAGGGTTTTCCGGCGTAGGTTCAATGCTGGCGTATTCCGGGTTGAGGCGTTCGAAGGTCGCGTCCAGGTCGATGCCCCAAGCCTGCAGGACTTCGTCGGATGTCATCTGAAGTTCGTCATCAGTCAGTTTGGTGCCTAACCAGAACTTGAACAGGGCGTCATATTGCTCTCTTATCAGGTATTCCCCGTCCTCTGCCTGCATGAACGCATTCTGCGCGGCTGCCTGCGCGTCCGTCATACCCCTGCTGGCGGCTTCCAGTGCGGAGGACGCGAAGCCAACGCCGTTTCGCGCGTCTCGCAGCAACTCTTCAGGAAAGCTGCCCTCTTTGATGTCGTCGTATGCTTCCTCGGCGGCATCCAATTCAACGCGCGCGGCAGCGACTCTCGCCTCTGCGCCGGACACAGCAATCTGCTGCGGCTCCAGCAGGTCATTGAGCTGTTCTCTTGCGCCGTCAAGGGCGATCTCAGACTGGACGACCGCGAACTCCGCGGCGGCGAAATTTAAGCCGGGGCGTTGGAGCAGGTGGTCAAGGGCAGCTTGGGCCTCGTCGAGAGCCACTTCGGCGCTCGCAACCTCCAACACCGCGTTGGCAACCTGTATGTTCGGCTCAAGACGCAGGGCGCTGAGACTATTCTGAGCGGTGGTTACGCTGAGTTGCGCACCGGCGACTGCGGTCTGAAGCTGTGAGATGGTCTGTTCGTCGAGCGATGCGAGTGGCTGATCACTCCGAACGAAATCGCCTTCAGTTACCAAAACTTCACCAACGATGCCTGGAGACTCGAAGGACAAGGACACGGTGTTGGGGAACACGAGGCTGCCCGATACGGGAATCTCACGCGGGCCGGTCTGGGCATGTATGGATGCCGCTGCATCGGCAGGAGCATTGTCAGAAGAATTGCCTCGCCCGCCACAGGAGGCTAGTGCGATTGCGGCAGTGAGCGCCAAGGATAGAATTGCCAGGCGAAAGGCGAAGTTACGCTTTGTCAAGTTGAACAACGGGCTGTTCATTCAGTCTTAACCTCTCTCATTTGCCCGACTGCCGTCGGGCGAGCGCAATTTTAGGATGTAAGGCAAAATGCCCTCGGACATGATAGCACAGGAAGCAGCGACGGGAAGGACTAGCTTGCCAGTAGTCGCTTGGCGATCTCTCTAGCTTCGTCCAGATCCGCAGCGAAGTTGTTCTGCGGGACATGCTGCAGGACGTTGAGCGCTTGAAGGCCGGAAGCCATGAGCCCTGTCAAACCCATTACAATGCAGTCCGTGTCCTGATCAATGGCAGTGTCTATCATCTGCTCTACCACGAGCGCGGCGCTGTCATCAATGTAAACCGTATCGGAGAAGTCAAGAATGACGACTTCGTGCTCGCTATATCGGTGCTGATCGCTGTTATCAGCTTGCTGGATGAGGCTACCGAGAAACTTCCTCTCAGCGCTACCAATCCGACCCGCGCAGAGAATGGGTCTATTTCTTTAGATTGGTCGTCCAGAGAGCTATTGTTGTAAAGGAATGATTGATCTAGAAGCGGAACTGAAACCACGCTGTCCAACTCCATTCTTTCGAATTGGCGCGCGCTCGCCATGCCCGCCGCAATCAGCCCAATAGCGACGGCCGTGATCAAGTCCAGGAACACCGTTAGTCCGAGAGTAATGAGCATCACGAGAAGGTGCTCCGGCTGGACACGGTGGATGCGCGTGATGAAGCGCCAGTCTATGATATCCCAGCCGACTTTCATTAGTATTCCTGCGAGAACTGCGTGGGGGATCGCCTCGACATACTTGCCCAACCCCAGAACTAGCGCGAGCAGAATGAGTGCGCGCAATGCCCCCGAGATCTGGGTTCGCCCACCGGCGCGGATGTTGACCACGGTGCCCAGAGTGGCGCCCGCTCCCGGGATGCCACCTATGAATCCCGCGATCATGTTGCCTAGTCCCTGCCCCACCAATTCGCGGTTCGGATTGTGTCTTGTGCGTGTCATCGAATCGGCTATGAGTGAAGTAAGCAAGCTGTCGATGGAGCCTAGCAGGGCGATAGTCAGAGCGGGTGAGAAGGCCCGAACCAGGAAGCTAGGGTCAATCACCGGCAATTGAGGACTTGGCAGGCCAGTTGGAACATCGCCGATAACCGGTGTACCAGATAGCCAGAAGACGCCCATCAGCGTGCCGACGACAAGCGCGGCTAGTGTAGGAGGCAGGAAGCGCCGCAGGCGGCTGGGCCAGAGTATGCCAACTATGAGAGTCGCGCCGGCAATCGCAATGGCGCTGAAGTTGACATTGTCGAGGTGACTCATCGCATTGGGCCAAGTTGTTGCCGCGGCAAGCGGCCCGCCTGAAGCGGCAGGCTCGCCTATGAAGGGCAGAACTTGCAGTGTTATGATGATGATGCCGATGCCCGACATGAACCCGGAAATTACCGAGTACGGCGTGTAGGCAACGAAGCGCCCGATTCGGAGCACACCCAGCAGAACCTGGATCAGTCCCGCCATGATAGCTATGGTGAATGCTTCGGCGAGGCTGGAGGCGTGTGTGGTGACGATGACCGCCATCGCTACGGCCATTGGGCCGGTGGGGCCGGAAATCTGAGAGCGAGTGCCTCCGAAGACCGATGCAAAGAATCCGACTGCGATGGCACCGTAAATTCCGGCGACGGCTCCAAGCCCTGACGCCACCCCGAAGGCAAGCGCCACTGGCAATCCTACCACGGCTGCCGTTACACCGCCGAAGAGGTCTCCGCGAAAGGTTTGGAGGTCGTACTTCATCCTCTAGTGCCTTTGACGGACTTGTTCGTCTGTGGCTTCTTAGGATGTTTGCATAATACAGATTCGTTAGTTGATATATATACAACGGCGACTTATAAGAGAGTACACTTTCAAAGGGAAAAGTGCGAGTGCCGAAAAGCAGGTAGGGGAAGAAATGCCATAAGGCCACGTACCGAATCGAGTGAGAAGTTCGGGAAAAGCAAGGTCGGTAGGATTGAGCGCCATTGACGAGCGGTAGGCGCCGTTGGCGATGGCGACGGCGATTTGGGGGCGCAATTCGCGAGTGCGGCAGTCTTTAAGGAGGGATGGTGGGCCATCGTGGACTCGAACCACGGACCTCAGTCTTATCAGGACTGCGCTCTAACCGGCTGAGCTAATGGCCCACAGAGGATAGGTTGTTGATACGGCTACTCGACGACTTTGCCTGTGGCAGGGTCGAATTCGACAACAATCTCAACGGGAGCGTTGCGCGCGACAATGAGTTCCATCGGCTCCGACAGGCTATCGTTGACAGGCTGATGCACGGAGTCAGGCGGAACGTATATGAAGTCGCCCTGCGCTATGTTCAGCGTCTTTTCGAGGCGCTTGCCCGTGAGGAAGCGCCCTTTGCCGCTCACAACGTAGATTGCGGACTCGCAATTGACATGGTAATGCGGGCTGGAGGCACACGCCGGTGGGATGGTCGCGATTGCAAGGTGTATGCCTTCCGTGCCGGCCAAGGCTTTCGATACGCCCGCCAGGCGTGTCATGCTGCCTGACGAGACTTCGACCTCAAGACCGTCGGGATGTATAACTGTACAAACTGCGTCAAGTTGCTTGTCCATGATAGAAAAGTATATCATTCGGCGGCGCGCAAGGGAATAGAAATTTTCGCGCAACCTTTATCTGTCTGTATCGACGGCGAATCAGGCTCCGACAAGAAGCTGAGGCACGATTGGCGAAGGAAGAGTTCAAGTTCAAGTTCAGGCTGCGAGTGCGCTGGGGCGAGTGCGACGCTCAGGGCATCGTGTTCAACGCTCAGTACATGAACTTCATCGAGGTGGCGCAGGCGGAATATTTTCGCAATCTGGGACTGCGCCTGTACAGCGACGAGTTGCGGAGTCGCTTCGACCTCGCCACCGTTAAAGCCACTTTTGAGTTTATGGCTCCCGCGCGAGTTGACGACATGCTGAGCATCTACACCGGCGTCGCCCGAATCGGCAACAGCAGCATCACATTCAACACCGAGATGTACTTTGAAGACGCCGAGCAGCCCTGCGCCCGCGCAGAGGTCATCTATGTGAACTTCAACGCGGATACGGGTGTCGCGCGGCGCATACCTGACGACATACGCGAAACTATCGGCGAGTTCGAGGAGATGGAGCAGCCTTATCGTACGCCTAGTCGTGTTGATCTTAACAATCAATGCTGCGTTTGCCATGATCGTGACATCGCCAGAGCCCGCTCTGCTCTCAATCTCTAAGCCGCCCTGCACGACATTCAACACACCTTTGCCGTGAGGAAGCACACTGAGAACCTCGTCGTGGTTCACGGCGTCGGGCTTAGGAATGCCGATGGTTACTTCAACAATCATCTCTTGCGATGTGTTGGGACCGAGTAAACCGAGAAACATCAGGCTGCTCTGGTGAACGGCGTTCCATGTCGCGCGCTTTGCGGCTTCGGTGTAGTTCTGTCCATGCAGGTCAATACCCATGCCCATTTCGAGAATCGCAGGTGTCAGCGGCATCGTTTCTCCTCCCATAATTGGCTACACTTTTATTCGTAGAATGAAAGTGTGCGTCTAACCTGCACGGGTGTCAAGCAAGAGTGCATCGTCGCCCACGCGCAGGATAGACATGAACGGGGAGCGCCTGCTAAAATCGCTTGCGTAAGCGGGAGTAGCTCAGGGGTAGAGCATCTGCTTCCCAAGCAGAATGTCGCGGGTTCAAATCCCGTCTCCCGCTCCATTTTTCAATCGGGACTGTCCTGCAGTGTTGGCTTATTTTCCTTGACTCATTTCATAGAGGATGTTCTGCGTGAGTCTCAGTAGTCTGCCGACAGAAGACAGGAGAATGAGCCACCTATTGGCGAATCGCGATAGTTTCAAGGAGAGATTATGCCCATCTTAAACAGGGATGACTACGAGAAGATTGAACTTTCGCCTGGAGTTGACCGTTGGGCGTTGGTGGACGGAGAGAAGGGTTCGGAGTCAACGAGCGTGGGCGATGTCGTCGTGGGCGTGGACGGCATTGTGCCTACGCACATTCATCCGACCGAAGAGGCAATGGTTATTCTGGAAGGCGAAATGGACGCCATACTTGGCAATGAAGTGATAACCGTCCGTGAGGGTCAGACGGTGCTCGCGCCTCCGGGAGTGCGGCACGGTTTCGTGAATCGCTCCGGTGCCCAAGCTCGTGTGCTTGCCATTTTCCCGACCGCCAATATGGAACGTACTTTGGTGGACTGATTCTTTCCCTCGGACACATATCCTTCACATTCCCCTATTCCATGAGGAGCCACAATGCAGGCAACTGCCAAGCGCGTCGAAGAGGTCGTCGAGAACATCAGGGAGTTGTCGGTGCAGTTCGCACAGCAACGCGCCGAAAGACATAGGAGGCGGGCGCTGGACAAAGCCGACTTCGACGCGCTGCACGACGCGGGCTTTCATCTGACGGGCGCGCCCGCCCGGAGATGGGTGGCATCAATGGTGGCGTTACGGAGTTCACGCGCCCGCTGTGCGAGATGCTGCGCATCCTGGCGAAGGGCGATCCTAGCGTTTCACTGGTGGCGTCAATGCACCCGGCCGTCCTTGGCGGGTGGCTGGAAGTTCCTGAGGCCCCCCCACCCTACACAGACGCATGGGAGAAGCAACGCAGGACAATTTTCGAGACCGCGCTTGAGGGTTGCTGGTGGGGCACCATCATATCGGAGCCCGGCAGCGGAGGGGATCCTTCTAAGAGCCGGGCGGTGGCAAAGCCGCGCCCTTCCGACGGCAAGTATCTCATCAGCGGACAGAAACATTTCGGAAGCGGTTCTGGAATGACATCGTTTATGATTACGCAGGCGGTGCCTGAAGGCGAATCAGCGCCGGATGTGTTCTACATGGATATGCGTGGTGTGCCGTGGGATGGTTCGGCGGGAGTCTCACTCGCGCGAGCATGGGACGGACACGGCATGACCGCAACACAGAGCCACGCAATGGACTTCAACGGCATGCCTGCCACACGCGCGGCATGGCCTGACAACAACGAACGACAGCGCGCACGCGTGCTTGCGGGGCGTCCAGCAGGGCATTTGTTTACTTCCGTCATAGTGGGCGTCGTCGAGGAAGCGGTGGAGATGGCTCGACAACAAGTGCAAAGAAAGAAAGATTCGATGCGCCCGTTCGAGCAAGTGGAGTGGTCTAGGGTGGAAATGGAGGCGTGGCTGATTCAGCAGGCATACGAGGGAGTGCTGCGGGATGTTGAGGCAGGCAACGGAAACGCCACACGGAGCGGATTGCTGTGCAAGGAAGCTGTGGCTGAAATGGCGGAATCGGTGATGCTGCGGATAAGCAAGGTAGTGGGCGGTGGCGCCTATTCGCAGAGTTCGCCGTATGGTTTCTGGCTTCAGGATGTACGGGCCTTAGGCTTCCTACGGCCGCCGTGGGGGTTCGCCTTCGATCGCATCTTTGATGGGAGCTGATGGGATGGGTATAACGCGGCGACTGGTCTTGTGCGGGGTGAATGTCATTGATGGTATTTCGCCGGCACCGATCAGGGGTGCCAGTGTAACGATCGAGGACGGGCGCATTGCTGAGGTGGTGGATGGAAGCAAGTCGCCTGACACTCGAGATGCCCAAGTTCTCGAACTTGACGGCGCGTACCTGCTTCCTGGATTGTGGGATGTTCATGTCCATCCAGAATACCCTATCGAGCCGGGGACCACGGTCGCACAGCAGACGGCTGATTTCGGCGCGCAGCTATCGCGGGCGCTCAAGAAGGCGGCGTGACGAGCGTGCGCTGTGGCGGCGCTGCGAACTTTCATGGATGTAGCGTGGAAGCGCATTTTCGATTCAGGCAAGATGATTGGGACCGCGCGTATTCGCAAGCGGCTACTTTCTGACCACGACAGGCGGGCACTTCCTTACATCCGGCCAGGCAAAAGAGTGCGACGGGCCTTACGGATTCGTTCAAGCCATACGCGAGCAGATAAAGAGCGGTGTTGACCACATCAAGCTAAACCTATCCGGCGGGATCATGGGACCGCCCTGGGATCTACACAAGCACTCTTTTTTGCTGGAGGATGAACTGAAGGCTGCGTTCGCGCTCTGCCATCAGCGTGAGTTCAAGGTGATGGCGCATGCCACGAATCCGGATGCAGTGAAGGCAGCTATCCGGTTGGGGGCGCACACGGTTGAGCACGGCTATATACAGGACGAAGAGTGCCTGGACCTGTTTAAGAGCAGCGGCGCGTGGTACGTTCCAACACTGGCGATTTCGCATCTTACTCACGAGCAGGCGGCAAACGACTGGGAGAAAGAGTGGGTGGAGCGACGGCAGATCGCTGCAGACCTGCAACGTCGTGCGAACGATGCGAGCGACGAGCATGCGAAGTGGTTCAAGCGAGCGCTGGATAAGGGCATCAAGATGGCGCTCGGTTCGGACATTCGCCCGTTGAGCGAGGCTGCGCTGCTGGAAATGGGGCTATGGGTGCGCGATGGCGCGACTCCGTGGCAGGCGATTCAGGCGGCGACTCGCAATGCGGCGGAACTTTGTGGCGTGGGCGATGAACTCGGTACTGTGGAGGCCGGCAAGCTGGCGGATTTGATCGTCGTGGAGGACAATCCGCTGGACGACATCGGCAACATTCGAGAATTGATGTTGGTGATAAAGGATGGGCAGATCATGTCCGACAAGCGCGGATAGATAGTGCCTGACAGTGCAACCGACCAGAGTTAGCGTTGGTCGCCGGTCATAAACTCCTGCCGCACAGCTGCAGCAACTGGCGAATCCAGTGCAGCAAGCCGCCTTCCAGTTCAGGGCCGCGCTGCCGCCGATATGTTGGTGAGTATCCACATGTAGGTCATTGCCTGATGCAGCGCGCCAAGCGGCCTTGACGCCTCGAATGTATCTGCGAGCCGTTCGATTGGCATTAACGCCGTCCATGGTTCGAGATAAGCATTTCTAAGGCGATTGTCTGCGTCCGGGTTGTCTCTGAGCACACTTTCGTCGAAAATAGGCGGCGGAGATTGTCGCCATCTCGAAAAACGGATGAGAAATGCATACATCGGTCCAGTCGAAGAAGGTATATCCGCCATCCCTGATGAGAATATTGCCGCCGAGGTCGCCATGCACTAAGGTGTGCGGCACTCCGAAATCAGCGAGTCGAGCGCACATCAACTTCAGTGGCATCGACAAGGAGCGAAGGTCACCTAACTCGGCATCTGACAAACCGTTTGCACCGCCCGTGAGCATCTGCGAGCAGGAGGCAATCAGCGGGTCTATCATCTCAACCATGCGACCGAGTCGTCTGTCGGGGATGTTAAGCGAGAGCCATTGGTGTACACGCTCCACTTGGTCAACCTGCGCCTGCGAGAATAGGCACAGCGCCTCTTCCCAGCGCGTGATGTCCGGGCATTCGTGGAGCATCTCGCTACCATAGTCTTGCATCAGCAGCCATCCACGCTCAGGCTCAATGGCGAGCGGTGAGGGCAGCAGTTCTGGGCAGCGATCGGCGACAGCCTGCATTGCGAGTCCCTCATGCGCCATGAACGGAGGCGTTGCCTTAAAGTACACATCTCCGTTTTCGGTGCCGACCTTCATTGTGCATGATAGGCCCCATGCGCGCTGCTGCACTATCGGACATTGGATGGTGAAGCCAAGCGAAGCAAGCTGAGAGCCAATCCATTCACAGGCGGCGGCAGTGCCAACCTATTGCTTCCCAGGGAGCGCGCAACTCGGATGGGCTGTCGAGATCAGCGAACCATGCTCTGATTACTTGATTGATTGACGGATTTGCAAAGTTAGCCGACAAAACCCTTTCGCGCTCCAGCCATTGTGAGCCGGAAGGTGAAGATGCGCCAGATTCGCGGGCGACGGCGATGAATATGCGCCAGGCGTTCCCGCTGTCTTCGCCTCGGGCGGCGCACTTCAGAGTCCAAACCTCAAAGCCCAACTGCCGGCGCATCTCTGCGTTTATATGCTCGACGATGCGTGTGTCCATGGTGTCGGGCGTGAATGATGGAACCGCACAGCCGTCAGAAGACGGCAGCACGAGTACGCTGCCGTCTTTCGGACGAGCCACTATGACGTGATAATTCACAGTTGCGATTAGAAGGCGCGCCTGTGCGAGAAAGCGCGCTCCTCGTTGGTTATGAACTCCAGCAGCGCCGCTTGCCCGTTCTCAGTCGCTGCCTTTGCGCGCATGATTGCGGCTGCAACATCGTTGGGGTCTTCGACGCGCTCTGACCATCCGCCCATATCGCGAGCGAGGTCGGCATAGCGTCCGCCGAGGTCGCGCGTGCCGTAGAGTCCGTGGGACATGGACATAGCGTCCGTTTCTATTGCCATTGTGGAGTTGTTGAAGACAACCGTGAGTATCGGGATGTTGCTGCGAACGGCGGTCTCGAAATCAAGGCCCGCCATGCCAAAGGCGGCGTCACCCATGAAGTTCACGACGAACTTATCGGGATCAGCGAGCTTCGCGCCGATGTTTAAGCCAAGCCCTGTGCCCAGTCCATGCGATTTGCCCCAGCCGAGATAGGTTCTAGGTCCGCCTGCCTGATAAAAGGGCATAATCTGGTCGCGGGGGCTGCCTGAGTCGTGAGTGACGATTGCATTATCGGAGTTGATGTTTTGCATGAACTCCCAGATGACGCGGTATGGCGTGATCGGGCTCTGATTGGATGTGAGAGTTGGCATCCACTCGTCTAGCCATTCCTGACGCACGGTGGCAATCTCTTCGGCGACCGAGCCGTCTCCGCGCTGTCTGCCGCCAAGTATGTCCTTGCAGGCGTCGATGAATTGGCGCAGCACCAACTTCGCATCGCCGACGATGGGGTGGTCGATGGAGTAGTTCTTGTCGATATCGATAGGGGTCGTTGGTCGCGTGGATGAGCGTCTTACCACTGGGCACAGGCATCGTCATGCCGTGTGTGGTGAAGCTGGTGCCTATGCCGAACAGGACGTCCGCCCTGCTGACGAAATGGTACACCGGGCGGCTCATCACACCGGATCCGCTGCCCAATGCCAAGGGATGCTTTTCGGGAAAGGCGCTCTTGCCTGCCATCGTGGTCATGACCGGGATTTGTGCCAGTTCGGCGAACTCGATCAACTCTTCAGTGGCGTTCGCGTACATCACGCCCTGCCCGGCATGAATGACGGGATTGTCGGCGTTCATCAGGGCTTCGGCGGCGGCCTGTATAGCGGCCGGGTTGCCTGCTGCCGCTGCGGGCTTGACTGGACGATAACCATCTAGGATGCTGTCGGGAACTTCGGAGGTCGCCACATCTGCCGGAATCTCGACCATTACGGGGCCGGGTCTGCCGCGTTTCAGGGCGGCGAATGCTCGGCGCATCGTATCTACGACACGTTCCGGAACGTTTATCTGCTCAATTTGCTTCGTCACTGAGGCGTAGCTTCGGAGCGAGCTATAGTGCGGGAAAATGCCGTCGCGCTCTCTCGGATGACCGAGCGGCAGGAGAAGCATCGGCACGGCATCGGAGAACGCGGTGGCGACGCCGGCGTAGGCGTTTTCTGCGCCAGGGCCGTACTGCATTGCGAATACGCCAGGGGGCCTGCCGTTGGTTACGCGGGCGTAGCCGTCCCCGATGCCAACACCCACACGCTCCTGTCGGCAGATGATGGGGCGTATGCCCGCGGCGGCGGCGGCCTCGATGACTGGCGTCGTGGGGAATGCGCTCAGGTATTCAATTCCCTCTTGTTTCAAAATTTGGGCTATGGCGTCGATGGTTCGCATGTGTTCGTCCTTATCTGTTCATTACCGCTCGTTCGGTGGAGTGTACCACACCGCTTTTGTACAGTTGTCTTCAATTACTCGTCAGACACTTTGATGAGCAGCTTGCCAAAGTTCTCACCATTCATCATGCCAATGAATGCGGCGGGCGCATTCTCAATGCCCTCGACCACATCCTCCTTGTACTTCATCTTGCCTTCCTTGATCCAGCGGGCGATGCGCTGACGACCTTCTTCGTGGCGGCTGGCGAACTGGAAGACAAGGAAGCCCTCCATGCGCGCCTGGTGGGTGGTCAGGTTGCGCGTGTTGCGAGGCCCCATCTCCGGCTCCGCCAGGTTGTATTGTGATATCTGGCCGCACACGGATATGCGCGCGAAGTCGGCAAGGTTCTCCAATACTGCATCGCTCACGGGGCCTCCAACATTGTCGAAGTAGATGTCAATTCCCAACGGGCAGGCGGATGCAAGAGCTTCGGCGACATTTTCGGTCTTGTAATTGATGCCTACATCGAAACCGAGTTCGTTGACGATATAGTCAATCTTTTCCTGCGAACCGGCGGTGCCTACGACATAGCAGCCCATTATTTTGGCAATCTGGCCAACGACCTGCCCGACGGCACCCGACGCTGCCGATACAACGACCGTGTCTCCCGGCGTAGGATTGCACACATCGAGGAAGCCGAAATATGCGGTCATGCCAGGCATCCCAAGGATGCCAAGCGATGTCGGAAGGGGGCCGAGCGCGGGGTCAACGCGCCGCAGGTCGCGTCCGTCCGATACGGCGTACTCCTGCCAACCAAGCCTACCTTCGACAATCTCGCCTATGCTGTAAGCAGGGGTACGAGATTCGGTGATGCGCCCGACTGCGCCGCCAACCATCACTTCGCCTAGCTGCACGGAAGGCGCATAGGACGCGGCGTCTCTCATTCGTCCGCGCATGTAGGGGTCGAGAGACAGCCAGAGAGATTGGATTAGCACCTCGCCCTCGCGCGGCTGCGGAATTTGTTCTTCAACCAGTTCAAAGTCCGAGAGTTTAGGGTAGCCGTCGGGTCTCGATCTCAGTGTTATCTTGTCGATTGGATTCGCTGATCATGTTGTTTGCTCCTCGTCAGTTCATTCTCGATTCCACACGCTGTGCTGATGCGACCCGCTATTGAACTGGTGCCTGCTCAAGCGTGCGCTTGATACTCCTCATCCACAGCCCTGGTGAGGTTCTGAGCGTCCGCACAGCAGAGACAGCGCAATTATGCCATATACGGCGCGACGAGGTATCTTGATGCGCGACTCTGGGTCGAGCCATTCGTCACTGCCAGCGAGCATGGCGAGGGTCTTCAGTCCAGATGAGCACAGGCCATAGAGCTGCGAGGCGCAGGCGCAGGTTGCGGCGCGGTATGGCGAGGATATATCGCTCGGCAGCACTGAAATGGTCTAGCGCCCTCCGAATGCCCCACTCCAGAATCGGGCGAGCACGGTCGGTGTTGACGGTGTTAAGCAGGTCCTCGGCGCGCAACCCTACCCGGTCGAGTTCGTTTTGTGGCAGGTAGCAGCGACCGATGAGAAGGTCTTTGGGGACATCGCGTAGGATGTTGGTCATTTGAAGCGCCTTGCCGAAGCGCACACCGAGCGCTTGCATTTCTAGCTCATCCCAACGCACGAGAGAATGCGTATGCGCGATAGATATGGCTGTCCAGAACTCTCCCACGCAACCCGCTACAAGGTAGCAGTATACGTCCAGCTGCTCGGGAGTTTTCAGCGCCGTGAGTCTGCCGGAATTCTCGGCCTGAAATGTTGACAGGTCGAGGAGCATACCTCTTGTGAGTGTCAGCACCACCGCTCTCGTCTGCTCGGCGTCATCTGCATCCATTCCGTTAAGCAACACAAAGAGTTCGTGCAGAGATCCAAGAAGTTCTCGCTCACCATCGATCGACTGCAGATCTCCAAGAGACTTGGAAAGTTCTGTAACCGTCTCTGCAGCAAGCTTGCCTTCCAGGATGTTTCGGAATTTTCGGAGTTGCGATGCCCTATGTTCTGTGGGCAAGGAATCTGTATCCGCGATGGTGTCGGCGGCGCGAGCGAGTAAGTACGCAATGCTGACCGGTTCGCGCATTGCGGAGGGCAGCACGCGCATGGACAGATAGAATGCTCTTGAGACTGACTTCAGCAACTCCGTGAGCATGCGGCGGCGCCTTTCGGGTGATACCGAAAGGGCTTCACCTGATGTTCGAACTGACACACCTATGCCCATACTGCGACTATGCAGCCTTTCTCCAATTCTTACTTGCCGAAACCGCGCTTCAATCCGCGGATGAAAGGCGACCTGGCCAAGATGCTGGTCTCTTCGCCTATGAGCTGGCGGAATATCGCACTGATACTGCGTCCTCTGAAGTAGCGCACCGAGGCAGGGAATTCGGCGAAGGGAGTCCTGTCTTCCGGTACTGCGTCGAAGTCGTCGTCATTCAAGCTACGGACATAATCCAGTGTTTCGGCGCGCACGGCGTCAAAGTATTGCTGCAGGTCGTCCTTAGTTATTGGTGGAGAGCGCCGCTACCTGTTCCAGCGTGTAGTTGACACCGTGGTCTGCCTCTGGGATATCTGTCTTCGCGCTCCAACCGTCACGCAACCAGACCTCTTCCGCGCCGCGAGCAAAGACGTTGATGAGCCTGTCCTCAACGCGTGCGGTGTGCCAGATTAGGAAGGCTATTGAGTTGGATTCGGCATCGGGTCGCCAGTGCATTTCTTCTTCCGATAAGGGCGCCGTTGCCGCATATACGCGCCTGCGATAGTCTTCCAGACAGTGTTCTACAAATTCGTTCAGCTTCATCCCAATGCCTTTCAATCAAATGTGTGTTGAGCAAGTATGTGTTGGGCATTATCGCATGTCTCCATGTGGCTGCGAAAGTAGGACACGGCAAGATTTGACGCTAGGCTGTCTGGCGCATAAACTCTGTGCTCAGAAAGCAGTTCGTCAGAGGAGACCATCGTTGACAGCCAATCGTGCGCCAATGCCTCAGCCTACGCCGGAGAGCAAGCCATTCTTCGATGCGCTGAAGCAGCATAAGTTGCTAATACAGCGATGCGCCGATTGCGGACACGCTTATTACTATCCGCGCCCATTCTGCCCTTCCTGCCTATCAAGCGATGTTGGGTGGGAGGAAGCGAGTGGCAGGGGGAGACTGTACTCGTTCGTCATCAACCATCGTAGCGCACCCGGGTTCAATGCGCCTTACATAATCGCGGTCGTCCAGTTGGAAGAAGGACCACGAATGATGACCAACTTAATTGACGTGGAGCCCGACCCCGAGATGGTACGGTGCGAGATGCCGGTGGAGATAGTATTCGATGATGTTGACGACGATTTCACGTTGCCGCGTTTTCGTCCGAGTGGAAGCCGACCTGATGGACAGGATAGTTAGGATATGGTAAACAAGGCGCGAGACATGCGGGGCAAGGTGGCAATCGTCGGAGCGAGTGAGTCCCGATGAGATTGGCGTGCTGCCCGACAAGTCTGCGCTGACGCTGCATGCTGAAGCCGCTCGCAACGCCACTGAACGACGCCGGGTTGCGAATATCGGACGTGGACGGCCTTTTCACGGCGGGCGTAACGAGCGTTCAGCTCGGCGAATATCTGGGCATCGTGCCCGTTCAGCGACGGCACGAACGTCGGCGGCTGTTCGTTCATCATGCATGTGGAGCATGCGATGCTTGCTATCAGCGCGGGCATTATTGAGGTTGCTCTGATAACGCATGGCGAGAGTGGACGGTCGCGCGTGGGCATGGTAAGCGGCGGAATCGCGCCTGATTCTCCGCAGGGCCAGTTCGAGACGCCCTACGGCGCAATGGGTCCCACGACCCTGTTTTCGCTGCCCGCTACACGCCACATGTACCAATATGGTACGACTCGTGAGCAGATGGCAGAGGTTGCGGTGTCGAATCGCAAGTGGGCGGCGATGCACCCGATGGCGATGATGAAGGAACCAATAACGGTCGATGATGTGATGAACTCGCGCCCGATATGCTGGCCATATTCTCTGTTTATGTGTTGCCTTGTGACGGACGCTGGCGGCGCTATCGTTTTGACAAGCGCAGAGAGAGCAAAGGAGCTGCGAAAGCCGCCGGTGTACATACTGGGCACGGGCGAGGCCACCGAGCACAACATGGTCAGTATGATGGCTGACATGACCACATCGCAGGCGGCAAAGGTGTCGGGCAAGGCGGCGTTCGAGATGTCGGGAGTATCGCACTCTGACATTGATGTGGCTGAACTTTACGACGCATTCGCGTTCACGCCGATGCTTGCACTGGAGGATCTCGGTTTCGTGAAGCCGGGCGAGAGTGGTCCCTTCATGGCGGAACGACGCACCGGGCCCGGCGGCGACTTTCCGATGAACACGAACGGCGGTGGGCTTTCATATACTCATTCCGGGATGTACGGCATGTTCACGCTGATAGAACTTACGAGGCAACTTCGAAGAGAGGCCGGCGAGCGACAGGTGCAGGCGCAAAGGTGGGGATCGCGCACGGTCCTGGCGGCATGTTCGCGGCAGCGAGCACTGCTGATCGCGGGCACGGCCGATACGGTATAGCAAGTCTGCTAGAAGGCAATGCTTTGGCGATAGACAAAATATCGATTGCAATTGAGACCGAAAGTGATGCGCGAGCGAGCGAGATACTTGCAGACCTCCGAAGCGCGGCGGAGACACTCTTCTACCCTATGAAGCAGGTGGGGTTTTGGGATTACGCGGCAGACTTGCACCTGTGTCCGCAGGAAGAGAGGCGGGAAATGTGTCCGCACAAACTGCCAAGCGACCATCCTGAACGCGTAGAGTATGTGAGCACGCTGCAAAGGGAGCGCAGAGCGAGTATCGAATTGAACTTCCCTCACGCAGGAATTACGATATTTCTGAGTTGAGGCTTTTCGTAGATGTACAGGAGTGAGGCTTCTCCGGAAGACGCTGCGCCAGTATAGGAGGTAATGAATGACCATCATTGAGACTGTACGCCCATCGTTAGCGCCCTACCCCAATTATCCTCTGCAGCATATTCTGAGTGCCACAGCCCAGCGTATTCCGCAGAAGGCAGCATCATAGACGGCGAGTATGTGTACACATACCAGCAACTGGATATGTACAGCAGCAGATTTGCGGCAGCGCTTGCAAAGCTGGGAGTCGCTAAGGGCGACCGCGTTGGGCTTCTCGCGCCAAACTGCGTTGAGTTTGAAATTGCGTTCTTCGGCATCATCAAGGCGGGCGCGGTCGTTACGACCATCAATTCAGGCTATCGCGAGCGTGAGATCGCACATCAACTCAGCAACAGCGGGGCAGGAGTTCTGGTTGTACATGACTCCTTGCTGAAGGTTGCTGAAACGGCTCGCGATGGTGCGCCCGAATTGAAGCGTCTGGTCGTCATTGAGCCAACATCACGCGATTCGGGTTCATTTTGGGGATTGCTAGAACGCTCGCCTGCATCACCTCCATCCGTCGAGATCGACGCCAAGGAAGATCTTGCTGCGCTGCCCTACTCAAGCGGCACAACGGGACTATCTAAAGGCGTGATGCTGACGCACTTCAACATGACCTCAAACCTTCGGCAGTTTATTGAGCGACCGGGCGAGGCCCTTCAGCAGACAGAGGACGATGTGCTGCTCGCTCACTTGCCACTGTTCCACATCTATGGGATGCAGGTCCTGATGAATGCCGTGATAGCGTCCGGCGGCACTCAGGTGATGATGGGGCGATTTAATATGGACGAGATGCTGCAACTAATTTCCACCCATCGAGTTACACACTTGTACACCGTGCCGCCCGTGGCTATCGGGCTTTCCCTGCTGGCGGATATTAGCGACTATGAAATGTCGTCAATGGTCGCTGCTTGTCTTGCGGCAGCGCCGGCCTCCGAGGAACTCCAGATGCGCGTGCAGGATGTGGTCGGCTTTCCGGTGTTCCAAGCGTATGGAATGACCGAATTGTCGCCCGTGTCCAATGTGGACTACATTGAGGCTGATAGGATGACTCCTGGTTCGGTAGGTCCCGCGATAGCTGATACAGAAGAGCGCGTGGTTGATCTTGAAACGGCTTCAAAGGATGTGCCAGTCGGTGAGGTCGGCGAACTGCTTGTGCGCGGTCCGCAGGTGATGAAGGGCTACTACAATAACGAGGAAGCTACGCGCGAGACAATCAGCGAAGATGGGTGGCTATACACCGGCGACATCGTACGAATGAACGAAGATGGGTGCGTCTGGATTCTCGACCGCAAGAAGGAGCTGATCAAGTACAAGGGCTTTCAGGTGCCCCCTGCTGAGCTTGAAGGGCTTTTGTTGGAGCACCCAGCGATTGCGGATGCCGCCGTTATTGGCAAAGAGGACCTCGAATCGGGCGAAATCCCAAAGGCTTTCGTGGTTGCCAGACCGGGTGTCGAAGTATCCGACGAGGATGTGATGGGCTTTGTGGCTTCGAGGGTCGCCACATTCAAGCACATCCGCGAAGTGGAGTTCATAGATGCGATTCCCAAGAATCCGTCAGGCAAGATATTGCGGCGGATACTGATGGAACGAGAGACAGAATCGTAATGTCCTGTCGGCGGTTTTGCATTGAACTGCCACTTGAGTCTATCATGCAATAAGTACTTGGGCATCATCGACTGTGAGGTGAATTACATTGGCAGAAAAGGTTCTAGTTTATTCGACAATCGGATGCGGTTACACCGATGTGGTAAAGGCTGAATTGAACAAGGCCGGCACGCCTTTTGAGGAGATCAATCTCTCGCTTCATCCTGAGCGGTGGCCTGAAATACTGCCGCACACGGACGGCATCAGGCTGACACCGGTGGTGATCGACGGCGACGAAGTTACCGTTGGAGTCAACGGTATTGGGTGCGTTTCCTAAAGAGCTATCCCCTGCTTAGAGCGCCGAACATACGGAGGTAAGAGGTTGGCAGATTCCAACATTGTGATTTACACGCATCCGACGTGCGAAATCTGCGTTACAGTCAAGATGGAACTGGATGACAAGGGCAAAGTGTACGAGGAAATCGACCTTGCCGAGCACCCCGAGCGTTGGTCTGAAGTGGAAGCGCTCGCCGACGGAGACAGGATAACACCTGTCACCGTAGAGAACGGCGAAGTCACGATAGGCTACCACGGGATCGGCTGCATGTTTTACGATTAGCTGCGGGGCACCTGCTTGACAGCCCAGCAAGTTAGACTTGGTGGGCGCGCATCAGGCAGACCCAGGTCTGGAGGGTTATCTCCACACGCCGCCGCCGCAGGCCGTCCTCATTGTCCCAGAGCGTTTTGTCCACGCCTGGCGGGGGTGCCCCCTCGTATCGGGTTTTCTCCCAATGCGATGGGCTTCGATAACCCGTGGCAATTATAATCTCCTGCGGATTTGTCTCAGACGCGGTAGTCCAGAGTCCCAGGATGCAGGCGTCCATAGCTTCAATACGAGGCCAGATGCCGTTTTCTGAGCAGTTCACGAACTCGTCAAGGTCTTGCGGGTGGATGAAGAAGCGCCTGAAGCCGTAAATCGGTCGGCGGTCTTCTTCCGGTACCACTGTTTTGGGACGAGATGAAATTGCATCAAGCAGGCGGACCTCTTCAGAAAGATGCAACTCGGAGGGACCCTCGCGAAAAGCTGCCTGGGCTTGACGCCAGGCATAGAGTGATCGCCACGAAGTTATCTGGACAAATTCGTTCTGGGGATTTCCGATCAGACCGCTGAGTAGGCAAATCACTTCACCGCCGGCGGAGCGAATCGAAGGTATGAGTTCGCTGCGGCGTCTTGAGAGATATTCGTCCAATTGGTTGGGCGCGACAAGCATGCGACGTTCTTCGAATATCATTGCTCCTCCGCTGTCATCCGCATATTGGGGACTGGAAATTGATGCAACCGCTGATCTACAGAAGCATATCTCATTATGCAGTTTTTTTTGCAAAGCATACAAGAGTGCCAAGAATCTGGCACCATTGCGTTTGGCTTGACCAGAAATCCATTAGGGCGTAGGCTTTGCAACACGAGGCGCAGCCCAGATCCGAATATGCGCTGATAGAGAGGATACGATGCAGTTTGGTTCATTTATGGAGTTCCATCGCCGGGAAGGCCATTCACAGGCAGACGCGTTCCGCGAGGCCTTCGAGCACATTGAACTTTCGGAGTCGCTTGGACTAGATGCTGTGTGGCTAGCGGAGTCACATTTCAACCCAGTAAGGTCCGTATTGTCTTCGCCCCATGCCATCGCATCGGCAATAGCGGCCAGGACTAAGCGCCTCAGAATAGGAACCGCCGTCAGCGTGCTACCTCTTGGCAATCCGCTTCGCACGGCAGAAGAGGCTGCAACTATTGACCAGATCAGCGAGGGACGCTTCGAATTCGGCGTGGGGCGCAGTGGCCTGCCCGGCTCATATGAAGGCTACAATATCCCCTACTCCGAAAGCCGTGAGCGCTTTTACGAATATCTTGAAATCATTCTTGAAGCGTGGTGTAAGGAACGCTTCACCTACAAAGGTCAATTCTACGGCTTTGACGATGTATGCCTTGTGCCAAAGCCATACCAGCAACCTCACCCGCCCATCCGCATTGCCGCGACCACGTCCGATACTTTTCCGGTAGTCGGTAAGATGGGATTTGCGATCTTCGTTGGCGTGCGCGGCATGAATCTGGACGGTGTCGCCGAGCAAGTTGAGAGCTACCGCGCCGCGTGGAAGGAAGCAGGGCACGAGGGCGAGATCGATGTGTCGCTGCGCGTACCCGTGTATGTAGGCGAGACTGAGGAGGATGCACTGACAGCGTCGGAGGAGAGCTTCATGCGCCAGTTCAGGCGACTTGGCGGACAACTTGCTGCCTCAGCATCTCGCGCCGGATCGGACCCTGGTGAAGAGCGCGCAGAGCGCGGAGCGCAGCTCGCCAGCATACAATGGGAGCGCAATGTAATCGGGCAAAAGGCTGCTGTAGGAACACCTGAAATGGTGATAGAGCAACTCAAGGTCATGAAGGATGCGCTGAGCTTGACAGGTGTCGTCGCGGAATTCAATGCTGGTGAGCTTATACCAGAGGATAAGATTTCGAATTCGTTGCGTCTGTTCTGCGAAGAGGTAATTCCTGCCTTCAGATAAACGGATGCCTGTTGCAATTGGTGCCGATCACAGTGATTCTGTACTCGCAGCCTGAGCGTAGATTTCTCTATGGGTAATAGCTGCGAGCTACTGATCGCGTATGCACCTGATGCACCGGAAGAAGCAAGAATATCTGGCATTGCAACCGATTATTGCTATGATGAAGATGGCGCCCGTCGGATCGGCAATTACCAGAGTCAGGTATGGGCAAGCGTGGCAATATTATTCCTGATTCTTGCATCTGCTCAGTCTGCTGGGGACTTTTCGCCGGCCGAAGTGCATACTGCCGGCGAGAAGCTCCGAAATCAGAAGGCATTCCGATTAGCCTTGCTTAAGCCGGTGGCCGTCTCCTAGGCCTTTACAAAGAACTTGGAGGCTACCTTGTCCACGAAGTTCTGGCCCATGATCTTATACCCTTCCGCATCCGGGTGCAGGTCGTCGGGCAGCAGGTGAGCAAGGTCTCGTCCGAATAGCTCCAGTCCGCTTACGTAATGTAGGTTCGCGTCGCCTTGGGCTCTCATTGTCCGGACCGCCTCCTCCACTTCCTGTCTCATCTCCTCAAGAGTGAATTCCACAGCGTTCTTCGTTGTCTCTCGCGGTGGCGAGAAGATGGGAGAGATTACGACGAATGGCGTGTAAGGGTGCTTCTCCCGCACTATTTGCACGAACCCAATGATGGCCGACTGGAAGGTGCGCGGGCTGAGGCTGTCTGAGCCATAGATGTTAATCCCGACTTTCATTGACAGGTAGTCTGCCGGCATTTCTCGTATCATGCGGGCGATCATCGGCTCTAAGTGGCAGTTGCCTCCGTAGCCCAAGCAGGTTAGGTTCATGGCGTGGTTCCGCGACGCTATAGCGGGCCAGGTGAGACTGGGACTCTCGGCGGTGCGACAGTGAGTGATAGAACTACCGTAGGTGACCCACTTGGGGCGGGAGTCGTCGAAGGGACTGATAGTCGCTCCGTCAGAGAATTCGATTCCCCTCAAGCGAAACTCTGCATGTTGAGGTAGCCACAACTCAAGCAACTTCTCCCCCGCGGCCAGGCCATCAAATCGAAAACTAGTCTGCCCTGCGTACTCCACCGAACCCCTGGAACTCACCATCGCAGTACAAGTCTATGCTGCTAGCTTCTTCAGACGGTTCCACGTGTCCCATGATAAATTCCGTATCGGAATAACAGGAAATTCTGACGCCCGCGGGCATTGCGGCTCGCTCGCGCAGGGCGTCTGGTGGGAATAAGGCAAGCTGCTTGTAGGGAATCCTCCAGGGCATCCGCCAATTATTCGTGTCGTTGAAGGATATAGCGCCCTGCCAAGTGAGCCTGGGATCGTCGGGACGAACCTTCTGGGCCATGTGCTTATCCTCCTACGGAAGTTCTTTGAAAGCGAGTCGTTTGGTGTGGTTCTCGTAGAGGAGTATATATCAGCAACTTGTCAGCAGGCTAGCGAGGCTTATGTAGAACTTATGGAGCTGGCCTGGGCGGTTTTTGTGCACAGAATCGCACCAATGTAAGAAGGACTTATATGTTTTCCCGTGCTTGGACTTCAGGGCGTGGACTGCACACGGGGTGATAGACTGATTCGAGCGTGAGTTGATTGAGCCGCAAAGTGTCCGGGCACGGAACTGGCATGCCAAAATGCTGTGAATTCGGAGTGGTGAATATGAAGGCCGCAGCGCTCGCATTGTGGGCGTTTGTCTCACTGATGACTGTTTCCTGCGGTGACGCCGGAATCGGTGCGCAGCCCGACGCACCCAGGCTTGCGCCTGAGGCTTCGGAATCGTCTTCGAATCCGGCGGGGCGGATGTCTGTCAGGATGGCTTTTCCGTCCATTAGCATACCGGGAGGCGCCTATGATATGGCATATCCTGATGATGGCAGCAATAGATTATTCGTATCCTCGAAAGAGGGTCGAATCACCGTTTTCGAGAACAGACCTGATGTCACCAATGCGAAGACTTTCCTGGACATTCGAGACATAGTACATTCAAGTGCATCCGAGATAGGTCTGCTTAGTATTGCGTTCGACCCCGATTACAGCGACAACGAATACTTCTATGTCCATTACAATTCACGGAGCGGAGGTACATTGGAGACCGTGGTCTCTAGATTCAGAGTCAGAGACAGCGACAAAGATGCGGGTGACCCTGAGAGTGAGAAAGAGATACTGCGGTTTGCACAGCCTCGCTCCAATCACAACGGAGGCAAGATAGCATTCGGCGAGGACGGATACCTATACATCAGTTTTGGGGACGGTGGGCGAACTCCGTCAAACGCACAGGACCGAACCAATCTGTTTGGCAGCATCATCCGGATTGATGTAAGCCCTGACGATGACTCGGAGCCCTATTCGATTCCTTCGAGTAACCCGTACTTCAGCGAGAGCGGTGGAATAAGATGGGAAATATGGGCATACGGACTGAGAAATCCCTGGCGGTTTTCCTTTGACCGTCAGACCGGAGTCATGTGGGCAGGCGACGTAGGACAGAACAGCTACGAAGAGGTTGACATCATCTCAAGCGGAAGAACTACGGGTGGCCCACCATGGAAGGATTCGAGTGCTACCGTGAAGCTAACTGCGACAGCACAGGTCTTGAGCCGCCCCTGGCTGTGTATGAGAATACACCCGGGAGTTATGCGGGCGACTGTTCCATAACTGGCGGGTATGTTTATAGGGGAAGTCGCCTGAGCAACCTTGCCGGCAAATATATATACGGCGATTATTGCTCAGGCAAGATATGGGCTTTGCGACACAACGGAAGTAGCGCAGCAGATGCTCCAGAACTGCTTCTTGATTCAGAACTTAACATAGCCTCGTTCGGAGAAGACCAGAGGGGCGAGTTGTACGTTCTGACCCCAAGTGGGCGTCTCTATCTCCTGGAGCGAGAATAGGGCGCCCTCCGCATGCCGGCTATCCCTAGCGGAGCCCAAGAGGAACTCTTAACTCCGGACGCGCGCCTCGTCGCGGCGGTGGCGTTTGCGATCGTGGGCAGAAAGTTCCGTCTTGCGTAGACGAAAATTCAGGGGTGTGACTTCCAGCAATTCGTCGTCCGAGATAAACGCCAATGCCTCCTCAAGGCTCATCCTCATTGTGGCGTTGAGGCGCTTGGCAATATCAGCAGTTGATGAGCGAACATTGGTCAGCTTCTTCTGTTTGCAGACATTAATTTCAATGTCCCCTTCACGCCGGTGCGAGCCGACAATCATCCCCTCATAGACCATAATGCCCGGATCGATGAATGTGTCACCTCTGCCCTGGGCATTGAGCAGACCGTACGTGACGGCGGTGCCGCCTTCGGATGCCACGAGCACTCCCCCGCCCTGCGACTTTATCTCCCCTTCCATGGTTCGTAAGATGTGAAGAAACTGCTCTTCACTCCAACGCCCCGAGTGGTCTGAAGAAAGAAGGCATTGAACCCGATCAGTCCCCGGGTAGGTATCTTGTACTCTAAATCTACATAGCCGTTATCGTCGTAGCGCATGTCGCGGAGTTGTGCCAGATGCGTCGAGAGATATTCGGCGATCTCCCCCACATACTGCTCGTGAGTGGTGATATTCAGGATTTCATACGGTTCGTATTCCTTGCCGTCAATCATCTTGGTGACTGGCGAGGGGCGTGACACCTGAAACTCAAATTGTTCACGGCGCATAGTCTCGACCAGAATTGACAAGTGCAGTTCGCCTCTTCCGGCGACGACGAACACGTCCGGGCTGGATGTGGTGTCCACTCGCAGGCTGATGTTGGTTCGCAATTCTCTCATCAGTCGTTCGTGAAGATTGCGGGACGTACAATGAATACCCTCTTTGCCCATAAAGGGAGAGGTGCTCACGCCGAAAGTCATGCGCACCGTGGGTTCGTTGATGTCGATTGTCGGCAATGCCTCCGGGTTCTCAGTCGAAGTTATGGTATCGCCGATGGATACACGCATCAAGTCCAGAAACCGCTACGATGTCTCCAGCGTAGGCTTCGGGGACTTCAACCCGCTCCATGCCGCGGAACACGAAGATACGCTCAATGTTGTGCGTACTTATTTCGCCATCGCGCGCCAGCAGGGCTACATCATCCCGCATCCGCAATGTGCCATTGGATATGCGGCCAACGGACACCTGGCCCAGGTAGTTGTCGTAGTCCAGGGCTGCCACGAGCATTTGCAGCGGGGCAGCCATGTCGCCGCCGGGCGGTGGGACCGACTTCACGATCGCATCGAAGAGAGGCTGCATGTCCGTCCCAGGGACGCCCGGATCGGCAGTGGCGTAGCCATCGCGAGCAGAGGCGTATAGTACTGGGAAGTCAAGCTGTTCTACTTCAGTAGCCAGTTCCAGGAACAGGTCCTGGATCATCGTGACCACCTCGGCCGTGCGTGCCTCGGGGCGGTCTATCTTGTTGATGACAACCATTGGCGTGACATTCTGCTGGAGGGCCTGGCGAAGCACATAGGTAGTCTGTGGCATGGGACCGTCCACCGCGTCCACCAACAGCAGGCAGCCATCGGCCATATTCATAACACGCTCCACTTCGCCGCTGAAGTCGGCGTGGCCCGGCGTGTCGATAATGTTAATCCTCACATCTCCGTAAGAGACAGAGGCATTCTTGGCTAGGATAGTGATTCCGCGCTCCCGCTCAAGGGGGTTGGTATCCATGATTAGCGCGCCCACCTGTTGGTGGGACCGAAAGACTTTACCCTGTTTCAGCAGCGCGTCCACAAGGGTCGTCTTGCCATGGTCAACGTGGGCAATGATAGCCAAATTGCGAATGTTTTCGTTCTTGCAGTCAGTCAAATTAAGGCACTCCGAATACTGAGACACTTGCAAAAGCATCTTTCAGTTCGCTAACGGTCATTTCTGGGAATGTGGGAATCCTGATGTAGGATGCTCCATGGCGATGAATATCGTACTTTTTCATCTCTTTTACGAATACCATGATAGCAGGGCGGCTCGCCACTTGTTAGAATTAGCACCACTTCCGAGACCAGAGCGAGAGTAAAACCAGCAGTACAAATCATATTGCTATGGGCAGCACTCGGCGGCTCAACCGCAGGCTTAGTCGGCCAGCGCCCGCCCGGAGGATGAATTCCAGCGCCTGACTGTGAACCTGCGGCCCAGCCCTCGCTCAATCTCATTCCACTTGCGTACTTCATCCGGCGTGATAAAGGTCACTGCCTCACCGGAGCGTCCCATGCGGCCCGTCCGGCCTACTCGATGCGTGAAGAGCAAATCTGTGTCAGGCAGGTCAAAGTTGATGACCTGTGCAACACCATCAATGTCCAGTCCTCTTGCAGCCACATTAGTTGCTACAAGAATGGGTGTGGCGCCGGAACGAAAGTCCGTCATCACGCGTTCGCGCGCATTCTGACTGAGATTTCCCTGGAGCGCCCCCACAGGATAGCCCAATGAGTCGAGTTGTCGTGCCAGCTTTTTAACGCCGTGCTTGGTCCTGCCGAAGACGATAACCGGATCGCCGTCCTGCTCGTCCAGAAGCGTCTGAAGCGCTTTGACTTTTTCGTTTTGCTGAATTGTATAAACCATGTGCTCCACGGTGGGCAGCGTGCGCAGATCTGTGTCTATTTCCACTCTTACGGGGTTACGCAGGTGCTTTCTGGCTGTGGTAGCCACCCACTCAGGCACCGTTGCGGAAAAGAGAGCGGTTTGGCGCTCGGAGGGCGTCCCGCTAAGGATTGCCTCAACGTCTCGCGCAAACCCTCTGTCCAGCATTTCGTCGGCCTCGTCCAGCACAAGAAATCGCACTGAGCGCAGGTCGAGAGTTCCCTGCCGAAGATGGTCGAGCGTGCGCCCGGGGGTCCCAATGATGATCTGCGCTCCATTCCTTAACTCTGCGTATTCCGGCTTTGCGGAACGCCCACCATACAATAGGGATACGCGCAGCCGTTGAGATGAGCATAAGGCTTTCGTGACTTCTGCCACCTGAATTGCAAGCTCGCGGGTGGGTACGAGCACGAGCGCCTGAACCTGACGGATAGACGGGTCGCACTGCTCCGTGAGCGGCACTGCAAACGCCAGCGTCTTTCCTGAACCTGTGCGTGCCTGTCCAATCAGATCTCGACCCTCCATTAGATGTGGGATGGCTTTTGTCTGAATGGGTGTGGGCTGTGAAATATTCATCAGGGAAAGCGCTTGTCTAGTAGCGGCTCTCAACGCCATTCCGGAAAACACTTCAACGCCGTCAGGGGCGGGCTCGTCAAAGCGGTCGTCTGCGCCAATCGGCTCGCTAACGAGTGTGTTGGGTTTGGCGGATTGACCGTTCCGACGGGCATTGAAGCAGGATCGGCAGTACACCGGCCTGCTGGGGGATGGACGGAATGGGACCGTTGTGGACTCATTGCAGTCTGCGCAAATGACAGCATGATGCTGTGAGCGGCTGGACGAACGCGGACGCGCTGTTAGGGATTGTAAAGACATACTGAATCAGACTCCTAGGTCAAAAGGGGGCAACACAAGCGACTCTGCGCGAGGCGGCCAAAAATGAGAGTGGTAGATGGAGGACACTGTGTGGAAACTTGGGGGAATTGTGAATACCTTGTGGACTAATCTTGAGAGGTTAAAGCGATGTGCTACATCATTATAGCAGATTGTCGAGTGCGGGGAATATAGATTGTTGAAATATCCCCTGTTAAAGGCAGATAGTAGGCCAGCGAAGCCGAGCCGCGCGGTTCATGCTCGTTCGGGGTTGCAATGGGAAATGCCGTGTATGGTGCAGCACAAGCTCTATGGTCTGTCAGGATCCTATAGGAGTACGCATGCGCCGCCTCGACCACGGAAGGGCAAGTTGTTGGCTGACGAAACGACCTGTTCCTCTTGTCCTTGTCACTCGTCTAAGATGCCGCTGAACACCTGCAATCCTGTGAAAACGGATTTCTGCGGTATTGCAACCACCAGGTGAGACGCTCTCCAATGCTCCTCGGGGCACCCCCAATCATGGAAGTCTCAACTCACGGACAAGCCCAGGCGATTTGTGAAAAAATCATTGAGGCGCTTTGCGATTCGGGGACTGCACGGCAAGACAGGCATACCTCTTTCGCATTCGCTGTGGACGGAATAAACTCATCACTAAGAAGATACTAGATTCAAGCCTTGTGGATGAGCAAAGGCAAGACCGATCAATACGTCGATCACGCTATTGTGCCTTCAATCTGACTTGGCTGGAAGGGCGAAAGGTGAAAGGTGCGTCATCGTAGTTAAAGGACTGTTGTGGCAGTGCTCCTTATCGTGGGATCATAGAACACGGATAAAGCAGAAGGCTATCCCAATGCCACATGACTGATCAAACTCTACGTCAGGGACGTTGATGATGAAAAAGGAAGGACGAGTGATGTCTAGCCAGGAGAGGGATTTCATTGGATACGGAGCGAACCCGCCGGTTATAGAGTGGCCGAGGGATGCCCGTCTAGCCATCTCGGTGGTCGTGAACTATGAAGAAGGCAGCGAGACCTCGCTGCTGGACGGGGACGCTGCTCACGAATCAAACAACGAGGTGCCGTCGCCGGTCCCGGCAGGTCAGCGAGACCTGTTCAACGAATCGTTTTTCGAATATGGCAGCCGGGTGGGAGTCTGGCGGATTTTGAATCTGCTGGACAAGTATGACGTAAAAAGCACGTTTTTCTGCTGCGCACTGGCATTCGAGCGGAACCTGGAGGTGGCGCGGGCGGTGGTGGACCGCGGGCACGAGGTGTGCGGTCACGGCTACCGCTGGGAGGAGTATCACAATAAGACGCGAGACGAGGAGGAAGAGGCTATCAGGATGACAGTGGAGTCGCTGACGGCGACCACGGGCGAGCGGCCTGTGGGCTGGTTCACCCGTTACGGGCCCAGTGTTAATACGCGGGAACTCGTAGTGAACGAGGGTGGGTTCATCTACGATAGCGGAGTGTTCAACGACGATCTGCCGTACTATACCGACGTAGGCGGGAGTCCGTGGCTGGTGCTGCCGTACAGCTTTGAAACGAACGACGCTCGGTTCTGGCGGGGCGGACTGAACAGCGTGGGAGACTTCTACGAATATCTGAAAGATACGTTCGACGTGTTGTACGAAGAAGGTCGCACGCACCCCAAGATGATGTCGGTTGGGTTGCACTGCCGGATCGCAGGTCGGCCGGCGCGCTCGCGAGCGTTAGACCAGTTCCTGAAGTACGCCCGTAGCCATCCGGGCGTGTGGTTCGCAAGGAGGGATGAGATAGCAAAGTGGTGGCTGGAACAGTACCCACCGGGGGCGCTGCAGTAGAAGCGATAGATCTTCACCGAAACACCAGGGGCGAATGATGATTCGCTTTCACATTGACCCGATCCGCTCATCGTCTGAACATCAGGCAGACGACCGCCATAATGCTACTTTCTAGACGTAACAGAGTGCCAGCCTTTGTTCCATCCCCGGACGGCTTCCTCTTTGAGGGTCTCCTTGTTTGGTAATCCGGGAAGATTCATTGGCAAAGCGTCCATTGCGTCAGTGACACTCGTGCCGCAAGCTAAAGATTCAAGAGCACAGGACGTAGAATTTCGTCCAGCGCACGAGTATATTTGAGCGACGCCGAGTGAAGTGCCAGTGTGTATCCCTAGGAGGACAGAATTATTATGCAGCATCGTGAAAGACAGATTAGAAATCGGGCAAAGGAACTGCTGAAGTCGGGCGAGGCAGTTCGAGCGTTCAATGTCTTCGAGTCGCTGAGGCCGTCAGTAATCAGCGTTCTTGCCCAGACCGGTTGTGAGATGGTGCTGGTCGAGACCGAGCACATATCTCACAACCCCGAAACTCTCACTAGCTTTCTGGTCATGGCTCGCTATGCCGGGCTCTGCCCCACAGTAACTATACCCGAGGTGTCCCGAACTCTCGTGTCTCGAACTCTGGATGCGGGAGCGCTCGGAATATGCCTGTCGCACTCCGAAACTCCAGAGCAGGTGGATGAACTGGTCCGTTGGATGAAGTATGCACCGGTGGGTGAGCGCGCATTGGCTCATGGGCCCAACGCCGGCTATCACATTGAAGACGCTTCCAGCTACTGCAACGAAGCAAACGACGCAACCCTGCTGATACTCAAGATAGAGTCCCGTCTTGGACTGGAGAACGCCGAGGAGATGGTTTCCAACGAGTGGGTGGACGGCGTGGTCTTCGGACCGGGTGACCTCGCCGCAGATATGGGCTTGCACGGACAGCAAGACCACCCTGACCTAATAAATGCGATGGAAGCCGTAGCGCAGATAGCGCTATCCCAGAGCAAGGCTGTAGAGTCGCCCGTCTATGCGACTACCTCCGCAGAGTACAGGCTTCAGAGGGAGCGAGGATTCCAGATATTCGGGCCTATCAGAACGACCGAATACGATCTGCTGAAAAAGGCGGCGACAGAGGCCATCGCTCCATTCAAGTAAGCAGCAAGTTAGCTGCGCGCCCGCAATGTGCGGCTACTCAATCCCGAAGAGTGCTAGCGCGTCCCTCTGAATGATACCTTCAAATAATTCCAACGGGACTTCCGGAAGGTGGTGCCGCTGGGCAAAATCATTGAAGCCCTTTAGGTTGTCAATCGTCTCTTGAGGGGTCGTCAACGGCCAGTCCGAGGCGAACAGAAGCTTATGCATGACGCTCCATTCAAAGGCGAGTCGCATGCCATTGTACATTTGCCAGGGCCTGTAGAATTGCCCTGAGACATCCGCATAGACGTTTGGGTGCTTGCGAATGACTGTGATGCAATCTTCGTGCCATGGGTGGCCCATATGCGCCATGACAATCTTCAGATCGGGGAAGTCCATCGCGAGTTCGTCCATCACCAGCGGATGCGCATACATGAGGGGTGCCGTTCGCATGGGAGCTGTGCCCTGGTGAAAGACGATTGGCAGCCCTCTTCGCTCGGCGACTTCATAAACTCTGCGTGCATTGGCACCCAAAGGGTCGAAGTTCTGATAGTTGGGAGCAAGCTTCATGCCCTTCAGTCCGAGGTCGTCGATACATCGTTCTATTTCCTCCATCACGTCCGAAGCGTCAGGATGAACGGACATAAACCCTATCACCTTATCTGGATATGTTCTCGCTAAGGCTGAGGCTGTGTCGTTGACTTCCCGCTGTGCTGTCATCACCCCCATGTCATCCTCGCTTCCGTAGGGGTTGATTGCCACGCCGAACGCGATTGCCTTGTCAACCGGGCCCATATCCCTGATATAGTCCCCGAAGCTATTGTTCAGCCGGACGCTGACGTCTGGACGCATCACCTCATTAAGTCTCTCTTCGTCAGCCGGCACTGCGTTTGTATGCGTCGGTATGTGAGTGTGTACGTCAATTATCAATGCTGACTCCTGCATCTACTGACTCGCGTTAATTTGTTATGACAGTCTATCGCAGTAGTGCGGGTCCGTGAGCTGCTGTTAATGACAATTCAGGCGGGAGTTTCCTAGATGCAATGCACGTGATCGTTTTCTGCTGCAAGTCAGGTCTATCACCTGACTACTTTCCACCTGTAGTGCATCGAGGACGTGAACGTGGCGCCATAGCCTGTCTAGGGATTCTCCAGTCATCCACCCGTACTCCCGAAGTGTTATTGTAAGATGCGAACAGTACAAGTTAGGCAATGCGCGAGAGGAACGATATGTCCAAGATTGAGAACCCTGCCGTAGCGCGGGTGTTCGACAGGTACCCCGAGCCCAGGCGCAAGAAGTTGATTCGCCTCCGACAGCTGGTCTTGGACGCAGCGTCGGAGACGGAGGGAGTCGAAACACTGGAGGAGACCTTGAAATGGGGTGAACCCAGCTACCTTACCAAGGGGGGTAGCACACTCAGAATCGACTGGAAGGACAGGGCGCCGGACCAGTACGCGATGTACTTCAATTGCAACACTTCGCTGGTTGACACATTCAGAGAACTCTACGGTGATGTGTTTATGTTCGAGGGCAACAGAGCCATAGTATTTGGCGAAGCCGACGAGATTCCGGTTGCCGAACTGAAGCACTGTATCTCGCTCGCTCTGACATATCATCGTGTGAAGCGCCTACCGCTGCTGGGTGCGGGACCTAGAACGCACGACGAGTCACCATGAAGTTCAGCGCACGTGCCACCGGTGGCACGTGCGGCGAGTGTTGAGCCACTGTGTTCAGGCTAGGGGAGGCGACCTGACCACTCTTGCGCTTTCTTCGCAATATCTGAATGCCGTCAGCGTTCCAGCTAGCCTGCGCCGGCCCAGGAAGATTAGCCCAACTCCCTTGTAATAAATTATGCTCATTTGTTGCATCCCCCTTCCAATCACGATGCGATCTCCATTTGGACTACAGGATTTCGTCAGACCTCTTTCGGGACGGCGTAACGACTGAAAGTCTTAGCTAGGAGGGAGAGTAGCGAGAAGATTTTCTCGCGCCGCGTCCCTTGACACGTGAATTTGTGCAGAGATACGCTGCGTTTGTTGAGAGGTAGAGAAATTCTCTGACTCAATGTCTGCTAATGTTCATGGCGAATCCGTTGACTGGAAGGAGTAGCTCGAATGCCCACCAAGTACGACCTACTACTGCAGGGTGGTGAGGTTATAGATCCCTCGCAAAGTCTTCGTGGCATGCGAGACGTGGCCTTTAGGGATGGCAAGGTGGTGGCATTAGAGAAAGACATCTCTAGTGACGACGCGCGGGAAGTGGTTGACGTATCAGGGAAAATTGTCACTCCCGGCCTGATAGATATCCATGGCCACTACTTTGAGCACATCGTGCCCTTTGCAACTGCCGCCGACAGAGTGTGCCTTCCTAACGGTGTGACCACCACCGTGGACGCGGGTAGCTCCGGCTGGCTGCACTTCGAAGGCTTCAAAGAGTTCATCCTCAAGCGCGAGCAGACTCGGCTCATGGCACTGGTGAATCTCTCGGCTCTGGGCATGATGGCACCGCGCAGGAGCATAGGAGAGGACTTCGGCCCCACCATAGGCATCAGCGGTGGACCTCAGACCTTGCTGGATCCCCGAAATGTGGGAGAACTTCAGGACCTTCGCTACGCACAGGTGGAGGAAGCCGCGCAGTGCATCAGGGACAATCCGAACGTCGTTCTGGGAGTGAAAATTCGCATAGACCACGAGATCAGCGGTGAGGCGAATACTATTCCGGCGCTGGAGCGCGCTCGCACGGTGGCAGACATGACGGGCTCCTTCGTTATGGTTCATGTTGCCCGTGTGCCTATTCCCCTGGCAAAGGTGTTCGAGTACCTACGTCCTGGCGACATCGTGACCCACATATTTCACAGCGCCGAGAACAACGTGCTGGATGAGAGGGGCAACGTTAGAACGGAAGTTAGGGAAGCAAAGGAAAAGGGCATAGTTCTAGACATAGGCGCTGCGCGGAGGAACTTCGACGTTCAAATTTCGAGAGCCGCTATCGAGCAGGGGCTTCTGCCGACAACACTGAGCAGCGACATAACCAAGACCCGGCCTCAAAGCCCAGTTGTCTATAACTTGCCTGAGGTCATGACCCTCTATATGTCTATGGGCATGTCTCTTGAGGAGGTGATAGCTGCCACCACATTGAACGCCTCCAGTGCGATTGGACAGACCGAAGTGCTTGGAACGCTCGCCGTAGGCGCAGTTGGCGACGCAACGGTGATTGAACTGGAGGAAGGAAACTTTGCCTATGACGATGGAAATGAAGGACTCGTCAGTACAGACAGACGCATCGCACCGATCTTAACCATCAAGGAAGGCAAAGTGTGGAGATCAGGACAAGATTAGCAGGTTGATGTTACACTCAGCGGCGGCTAGGGGCCAGTTCCCACGCAGGAAGGAGACGGGCTGAACGCATTCCGCCTAGCGCCAAAGGTCGAATCAGTTTCTTCAGAGCCATCTGAGAATACATTTTCAGTAATGCTGTCGGACCGTCAACCAATTCTCGCAGTACCTAGTTCGAAGAGCTAAACACTAACGGTTAAGGCGCATAGCGCAATTTGCAATCGTCCTGTTATGGGATCCTCTTGCGCTTGTCAAACTGGCGGGGACGCTAAAACAGATTCGAGAACGGAACGTTATCGCTGAGCTCAAGGAGATTGGAAATGGCACGCTTGGAAGGAAAAGTAGCGCGTGATTACGGGGGCCACCGGTGGTATCGGAAGCGCTGCGGCGAGGTTATTCGCGGAGGAAGGGGCGCGCGTGGCCTTGGTCGATCTTGACGAATCCGCGCTACAAGAGACTGTGCGGTCAATCGGCGAGGAGAAGGCAAGCTACACCGTGGCAGACGTGACCCAACCGGAGCAGGCCCAGGCCTATATCAATGCGGCCGTGGACCGCTGGGGCGGCATCGACGTGCTGCTAGCCAACGCGGGGATCGAGGGAACTCTGTCGCCCATAACCGACTATCCCATCGACGTTTTCGACCGGGTGATGGCGGTTAACGTACGTGGGGTGTGGTTGGGCATCAAGTATGTGGTCCCCGTGATGAGTGGGCGCGGAGGGGGCAGCATCGTCATCACCTCGTCCACAGCGGGAATCGGCGGAAGTGCGGAAATGTCAGCATACACCACCAGCAAACATGCGGTGATTGGCCTGATGCGCACCGCCGCTCTGGAGGTGCTCCGTCCGGTATCAGGGTCAATACCGTCAACCCGGCGCCCATCGAGACACGCATGATGCGTTCGATCGAAGACATGCGAGTGGCAGCGCTTGATGACTCGAAAGTTACCGTCGAGGTGGCGAAGCAGTCATTCGCAGATCGCATACCACTGCAACGATATGGTGATCCGGAGGAAGTGGCCAAGATGATGCTGTTCCTCGCCAGCGACGACAGCAGTTTCTGCACGGGAGGCGTCTACATGGTAGATGGTGGAAGATCGGCAGGCGGCCGCTAGCCCTCACCTCTCTGGACAGAGCCCTGCAGACCTCCCCATTGTCGCATTTCCCCACGACAGCAAGGTCTGCGCAGTCGACAATCGATGTCCCCACATAGGCTTGCCCTTGGAGAAGGACTGTATTGCTTAATATCGCGAAACTTTTGCTTCTGGTGACGATCCTCTACAACATCGTGGAGGGAGTTATCGCGCTATGGTCGGGCATCGCCGCGGGCAGCGTAGCTTTGGTCGCATTCGGCGCGGACAGTTACATAGAGGTGGCAGCAGCTTCTCTCGTGCTCTGGAGGCTGGGCATCGAGGACGACGAGTACGCAGAGGTGGTGGAGCAGCGGATTGTACGATTCATCGGCTGGACATTCCTGATCCTGTCGGCTGCAATAGTGTTCAGGTCGGCGTGGGCCCTCTTCGAACAAAGCGGCGCCGAGGAGTCGCTGGTGGGGATTGGACTCGCACTCGTCTCGGTGACGTTTATGCCTCTGGTGGCCGTCTGGAAGCTTCGGATAGCGGCGAAAGGGAATTTGCAATCCATCGCCATTGAGGCGAAGGAGACGATCGCCTGCTCCCTACTCTCACTTACCTTGCTTGTTGGCCTGGTTGCCAACGCCACGCTCGGCTGGTGGTGGCTGGACGCCGTAACGGCCCTGCTGCTCGTACCCTGGCTCCTTCGGGAGGGATTAGAAGGCATTCGCGGTGAGGAGTGCCACGATGAGATGCAACTATGCTCCTGCCGTACTTGTCTATTCGGCCTGAGGGCTTGCAATGCAGTTTGCTGCGCGCCCTGACAGACCAACGTCCAGGCGACCGTAGTGATCGCGTCGAATACTAACACACTGACGATCTTGGAGCACGGCAAGATGAACAGAAGCACATGCGATATTCTCATTCACAACGGACAGATCATCACGATGGATCCGGAACGCAGGATCTATCGTCAGGGCGCGGTGGCGATCACCGATTCGCGCATCGTGGATGTTGGCAGCGATACCGACCTACTACAATGCTATGATGCGAGGATGGTGGTGGATGCCGGAGGAGGTATCGTACACCCCGGCTTCATCGATGCTCACAATCACATTGTGCATACCACATGTCGGGGGGTCTTCGGCAACGTCCGCGACACAGGCTCATCGTCCGTCAACTTCGCGGACTGGAAAGCGGGTGTCACCGATGAAGACGAGGCGGCAGCCACCGCCATGGCTAGCCTGGAGATGCTTCGAAGCGGCTTTACGATGTTCATCGAGCCGGGCTCGCTGTTTTCGACCGCAGCGGGGGCGGAGGCGGTCGAGCGGGTGGGTTTGAGGGCCCTCTTTGCCCCGCTCTATCTCTGGGACCGGAGCGAGACCTTCGATGCAATCCCCTCGCTCGTGAGTTCGAGCCTGACAGCTCGCGCACCTGTCAACCACGACCGGTCACTGGAGGAGTTGGATGTGGAGCTTCACCGCAACAGTGACCCCGAAGCGCTGGTTCGCGGATACATCTTTCTCTATGGTTTAGGAACTGCCTCGCCTGAGCTATTGCAGGCCGCCCATAAATGTGCCCGCGACAACAACGTGCCCTTGCATCTGCATGCCGGTTACGTTCCCGAGGAGGCCGAGATCTATCGTGCCGTGAACGGTGTCAGCCAAATCGTTCACTTGCAAGAGATGGGTGTCCTGGATGAGCACACCGTTCTCGTCCACGCGAACGTGCTTGACGAGGCGGAGGAAACTGCTGTTCAGGAATCGGGCTGCCAGATTGTATGGTGCCCGGCTGCCTTCTTCTCGCTGGGCATCGGACAAAGTTCGCGATTTACAGTGGCAGAGAGATATCGCCGGGGAGTCCGAGTCTCGCTTGGCACCGACGCTGCCAGAGACAGCACACCGGGAGATACCATGCTCGCCGGACGCTACGCATCACAGACCTATGAGGATCCCCTTTCCCCTGGAGCGTTACTCGAAATGCAGACCATTAACGCAGCCGCGGCCGCGGGACTGGATACGGTACTTGGAAGCCTGGAGCCCGGCAAGCGCGCTGACGTTGTGGTGAGATCCGTGGGAGTGGCTGAGGCATATCCCGCCAACAATCCACTACACCTGCTGGCGTTGACGATGGGAACCGGAAGCGTGGATACGGTTCTGATTAACGGCGAGGTCGTCTTCAGAGAAGGTCACTCAACCCGCGTGGACGAGATCGAGGTGTACCGAACTGCCTCTGATTCCGTCGTTGCGCGAGCGAAGCGGCTCGGTATCGATCTGGAGCCGGAGTGGCGGATCGTAGGCTGATGGATGTACTTAGGGGTTGCCGTCATCTTTAGCCCAGTTCTAGGGCCATGGTGATCTGGAATGGCCTGGCTACTGGAGCCACCTACACTCTACAGTTTGGCCCCGACAAGCATAGGCGGATCATTGGCTAGATCTGTATTGCACGATGATTATCATCGTGCTTACGAGGCTACTCAGACTGCCGCCAATGTCTAAAGTCTAGCAGATGTCACTTGACAGAGATCGCACCCGTTGCTAGCATCGACGACGTGCTCAAAGGGGGAGCCAACGAGTCCGCACAAAGGCCGAGCCTGCCCCTTTTTCGTTCAGTCCACTGAACCTCAGACACTCTTTTCAGCCCGTAAGAGCGGACACCGGGCTTCAGGAAAGGAGTGCTCATGCAACTTTCTCCCCTACCCGCACGGCCGAATCTTGAGCACCTCAGGAAATGTCCAGGCCGAAGTAGTGTCCTATAAGCAGTAGGTGTACGAGGGGCTGTATAGAGACAGACCATCGCGTCATCCTTATCATCGATGAGTGACAATTCCGAAGTAAGGAGAACGACGATGGTCAAGGAAAGCATGGATCTTTTGGAGCTATTGCGCAAGAGGGGAGTGGACGGAGACGTGGACTTTCTGCGTGAGGCACTACGGGTGCTGATGGATGCGATAATGGACGCCGAGGTGTCGGCGAGGATCGGCGCTGAGCACGGCGAACGCAGTCCCGATCGGCTTACTCACCGCAACGGTTACCGCTCCCGCGCGTGGGATACCAGGGTCGGCACGATGGAGCTTCGCATACCGAAGCTCAGGGAGGGGAGCTACTTCCCGAGTCTTCTTGAGCCGCGGCGTCGAAGCGAGAAGGCGCTGCTGGCGGTGATACAGCAGGCGTACGTGGAGGGCGTGTCCACCAGGAGGGTTGACGATCTGGTGAAGGCGCTGGGTTGTGAGGGCATCTCCAAGAGCCAGGTGTCGCGTATCTGCGGGGAGCTCGACCGTGTGGTGGACAGCTTCCTTGACCGACCGCTGGACGGAGGCCCGTACTGCTACCTATGGCTGGACGCGCTGAGCCAGAAGGTCAGGGAAGAAGGAAGGATAGTCAACGTGAGCGTGGCTGTGGCGACCGCGGTGAACGCTGAGGGCAGAAGGGAGATCATTGGTATGGACGTGGGCACGAGTGAGGAGGGCGCGTTCTGGCTCGCGTTCCTGCGTTCGCTGTCCGCGCGTGGCCTGAGCGGTGTGGAACTGGTGATCTCGGATGCACACCGTGGACTGACCGACGCCATAGCGACTGTGTTCGCCGGTGCGAGTTGGCAGAGATGTCGCACGCACTTTATGACGAACCTGCTGACGCGGGTTCCCAGAAGCGCCCAGCCCTGGGTGGCCACCATGGTACGCACCATCTACCAGCAGCCGTCTCCACAGGAGGTGCACTCCCAGTTCGAGAAGGTGGTCGAGCAGCTAGCCGAGCGCTTCCCCCAGGCCTCCTCGATGCTGGCAGAAGACGGAGCCGACGTGCTGGCGTTCACCGGCTTCCCCGGCGCTCACTGGAAGCAGGTGTGGTCAAATAACCCCCAGGAGCGTCTGAACAAGGAGATCAGGCGGCGGACTGACGTCGTGGGCATCTTCCCGAACCGTCCGGCGGTGCGCCGGCTCATCGGTGCAGTACTCGCTGAACAGCACGACGAGTGGGCAGTAGGCCGGCGCTACCTGACACCCGGTGTGACCACGAAGCAGGAGGCGCTGCAGGAGGCCCCGCTGACACAATCAGCAGCAGCCTGAGCAGTACAATCAGGATGACGCAGCACTCTTACACAGACGCACTCCATGGGACTGACCTCAGCCAAGGATTTGCTGAAGGCGTACAGAGCTCGCGAACCATTAGCCCTTGCGCGCTTCCGAGAGTCCTCACCTCGATATTCCCAACATTCAGACATAGACTTGGCGCGGCTGCGTCTGTCCCTAAGGGACGCCCAGCGTGTTGTTGCAGTGGAATGCGGGTTTCCACATTGGCAGTGCCTGAAGAACTATGTCGAAAGAAAGGAGATATTCTTAATGATTGAAATGAACGTTGATCACGTCAGAGTACGGGATGCCACTGACAATAGGATAGTAATATTGAAGGCCAATGCACTGGACATGTACCTGCCTATATGGGTGGGAAAATGGGAAGGTGATGCAATATCGCAGAGACTACAGGGCCAGGATATGCCCCGCCCTATGACGCATAGGCTAATGGCATCTATGCTGCGTGGCCTAGGCGCGGAGATCGAGAGAATCGTGATCAGCGACATTGTGGACGACACGATCTTTGCTACCATAACGTTGAGAAATGGGGAATCCATGATTGAATTGGATTCCAGACCAAGCGACGCTATCGCCTTGTCCGTCCACTGCGGCACACCTATATTGGCATCTCAAAAAGTGCTGAACGTGGCCGGTGCCGAACTTGACTCCAAGACCGGTAAGCTTTCGACTCTCGTCAGGAGCGAGGAGCGGGAACGTGCCGAAACTGCTGAAGCTCGTGTGGCGGAGCTTGAGGCAGAACTGCGACGTCTGCGAGGCGAATAGCACGGCCAGAAGTTGCGTTGTCCTTTGCGGTCTACCCGGGCTTAAGACTGGACTGGCATTGCATCCAGTCAAGTGTCATGACTTCGTGAAATGGGCTTTTATCCCGAGGGTAAACGATTCAACAGAGGATCTAATCTGTTGGATCAACTCGGCAAATTTGCTCCTATCATATGACGTCTCATGGACGTATCGCGTGGATATGTATGCGACAGCTCACTGTTCCCATTAACGGACGTCATACGCCCGGGCAGCAGTCAGTGACACCTCTAAATTTCGATTTTCTTCTTGCCCGATAGGTATGCAATTAAACCAGCAGTTCTGTTGCGGGCGACCGACACCGCGCGACACTTTAGCCGTCAATTAACCTCACGCACGTTGAACAAGACGCCTAGATATAGGTCACTCGGGGGCGAATGCTCATCAGATCAGAATGAATCGCAATACCCCATCTCTAGAACCCGGAGATCGGCATTCCCTGCGCTTTCGGACTCGTGCTCACTCGCAGCGCGGTTGCCCCTATCCGAATTGAGGAATACTATCAAAGGACACGGAATATCGAATGGAGAAATGCGATGGACTATAGACCTTTGGGCAGTACCGGGATTCGGGTGTCCGAAATTGGGTTTGGCTGCGGCAATGTTGGCGGTCTGATGATTCGGGGCGAGCATGGCGATCAGGTGAAGGCGGCGGCGCGTGCCATTGAGTTGGGAATCAACTACTTCGACACCGCTCCCTCCTACGGCGACGGCCAATCGGAGATCAACCTCGGACAGGTGTTGAAGGAGCTGTCAGCCGATGTTTACGTTGGCACCAAGTTCCGGGTAACCACCCATGAGCCTGGGCGCATCAGGGGTAACGTTATCGCCTCAGTAGAGGAGAGCCTGACCCGGCTGCAGAGAGAGCAGGTTGACCTAATCCAGATGCACAACCATGTCGCGTCGATGGCGGAGGATGGTTCAGTCACTCCAGAAGAGGCGCTGGGCGAGGCGGTGGATGCGCTGCGAGAGTTGCGCGAGCAGGGTAAGGTTCGGTTCTGGGGTATGACCGCAGTGGGGGAGACGGCGGCACTGCACCGAGTTATCGACTCGGCGACGCTGCACACCGTGCAGTCGGTGTACAATCTGGTCAACCCGAGCGCCGGATCGTCCGTGCCGCCCGGATTCGATATGCCCGACTATGGGAACCTGATCGAGCGTGCTTCAGCCAATGGAATGGGGGTGCTGGTGATTCGGGTCCCTTGCGGCGGGAGCGCTGACTGGGGAGGCAACGAGGCATCCGGTCGCCGTCCCGAGCGTCGCACCTATAGGTTCAGGTCAGGACTACGGGCATGATCTTGCTAGGTCGGGCGACTTCCGGTTCCTGCAGCGGGAGGGGTACGTGGATAACCTGGTGGAGGCATCCCTGCGGTTCGCTCTGGGCAACGCCGGTGTTAGCAGCGTGCTGGTGGGCTATTCGAGCCTGGAGCACCTGGAGCAGGCTGTTGAATTTGCAGCAAGAGGGCCGCTTCCTCCGGAGGCGATGGGCCGGCTGACGCAGGTGTGGGCCGGGTTTGCCGGATGAAGCGACGGGCCTTGCGCTCCATGTCAATGCAGGGCAAGTTATCACGGCAACGTTCCTGATTCTGTTGCAGTCGAGCAGCACTCCCGTACCTGCGTCGTCCTTGAAGTTCATGCGAAGCTCCTACCCTGACGAGCACCCGCAGCCCAATGGTATAATAGCTGTACGAACTCCAAAGTAGCTGTACTGAGGTGACACATCCGGACCGACACTAGACGATAGACTTCCAATCTCCAAGCGGCACAATCTCTTTCGGCAAAGAGCGGAGGTGTGCAGATGGATGGCAGGCGGAATGCGGTCAACTGGAGTGCGATGATGAACCCCGTGGCCCGAAGGCTGCTCGGCATTCCCGCGTTCATCGAGACGCCGGGAGTGCTGCGCTGGGGACACAAGGGCAGGATGCGCGTCGACACCAGGCGCGGGAGATGGCACGATTTCGAGTCCGACGAGAGCGGCGGTGTTGTGGACCTTGTTTCACACTGCATGAACCTCTCGCGGCCGGAGGCCGTAAAATGGCTGCGCGACGAGGGCTTCTTATCAGTGCCGGACGTATCCGTGGCAGGGCGACTCTGGGATGACGAATAGGGTACGTCCCCCGACAGGGCTGCAATTGTGGCGTTTCCCCCGCCCCGTGCATTACAAAGGGCGCGCAGGACCAAGCCTTCAGGCCAAGTCACCCACAGAATCTTTTCTCATACGCTGACCAAACAAGACCATCGACCAGATTGATCTCGATACAAGGGGAGACAGAAACATGACGAACAGAATTTCATTTGCTCTTCTGCTGGGACTCGGAGCAATGATTGCCCTGCTGCTCGGCTGCGGCGCGGCACCCGCTGCCCAGACTGCTGAGTCTCCACCGGCAGTGCAAAAGGCGATGCCAGACGCATCAGTTAATGACGGCTCGGAGGTCGAGGTAGTGGAGGTGGGCTACCAAGTGGGATTGCGCGCTCCTGAGTTCGGCATGACGCTGCTGGACGGCAGCAGGGTTACCACTGCCAACATCGTGGACGAGGGCAAGCCGGTCTTGCTCTACTTCCACGCCACCTATTGACCGACCTGTCGCGCCGAGTTACGGAGCATCAAGGAACAGGTTGGTACGGGCTACGACGACAGTGTTGCGATCTACATAGTCGGCACAAGCCCTGGCGAGAACATTGAGAAGTTGGAGGCGGACAGGGTGAAGAAGGAACTTCCCTGGCCTGTGGCATACGCCGAAGAGGGCATGCTGGCGTCCCTGAACATCACCTCTCAGGCCTCGAAGATAGCGATCAGTGGGGATGGCACGATTACGCACCGCTACGGATCCGGCAGAGGCAGCTATGGTAGCTGGGCTGAGTTGTTCGACGATATCAGCGCGAACTAGCGGGCCTCTATCGACTGCGATTCGTCCTAATGCCGAATGCGGCGGCGGTGCAACGGAATAGGCACTCCTATTGCATAGGCATAGTATTTTTTGCGTCCAAAACAACTCAAACTGTCACCGCCTGCCATTCCACTTGGAACTAGGCAGAGGACGGGCCCAGAATGTGGAGGCCGTCGCATCGAACACCGCTGCGTCGGTGGCCGACATGCCTAGCCATCCTCCGGGAGTAGCACCACTCGGATGTAGCGGTCGTCAGGGAGGTAGCGCTGTGCCGCAGCCGCAACTTGCTCCAGAGTCAACGAATCCAGCCTTTCGTCGAAGCGGAAGATCTCTACGAACGATCCACCCCGCTGCAACGTGGTCAGGATCCGATTGAGCCAGAAGCCGTTGTTGCGCAGCTGTTCCTGTCTAGGAGTTTGCAATAGTTCCTTCACGGTGTCCAAGTATTCCTGTTCGCCTCCCGCGCGCAGCCAGTCAAGTTCCTCCATCACCTCTCTGAAGAGTTCTTCGGCGCGGGAGGGATCGCTGCCGAAAGCGATGAAGACCTGGTACTCGGGGTCCGGCAGCACCATAGTACTTGCATTTACACCGATGCTGTACGTGCCGCCCAGTTCCTCCCTCACCCGTTCACGCAGCCGGATGCCGAGCACCTCGCCTGCCGCCTCCAGCGCCAGCGCCTCCTCGCGACTCCACTCCATGTCTCCGGCGAAGACCAGCACCGTCGTACTGCGGGGCTCGATGCCGCTGCGGACGACGTGCTCCTGCGCCTCCATCGGAGGGTCGATCCCGACATCACGCCACTGCTCGGCGCGACTGTGGTCGGCAAGCTCGCCAAATATGTCGCGGTCAGCGACCGCAGTTTTTCCCAGTCGAAGGCGCCGACGAAAACGAAGGTTGCGTCACCTAGGTCAGCAAATCGGTAGGCGTACACCGCTTCCGCGCGCGCCAGGCTGAGTTCATCCAGCAGTTCGAGGCTAAGGGGCCGTGCGCGGAAGTGGTTCTGGCTCAGCACTGTGTTCACGGTGTCGTAGAGAACGGTGTCCGGCCGAGCAGAGCGAGTCTCGGCGATGCTGCGAAGACTGGTTTCGTACCTCGAGAAGTAAGCAGGATCGAGCCGTGCCGCGGTCGCGTACAGCGTAATCAGCTGGAACAGAGTCTCCATATCTTCCGGCGAGGCGCTGCCTCGGAATCCTTCGAAAAGCTCGTCGATATAGGGCGACACGGAAACATTCTTTCCGGCCAGCAATTTATCAAGGGTGACATTGTCGTGCAGCCCAACGCCGCTGCCGGCAACCAGTCGGGCGGCGTATATTGCTGACACATGGTCTGCATCGGCGACCAGTGAGTGCCCACCCGGACTGAATGCCCTGAATACCACTTCGTCATTGCGGAAGTCGGTCTGCTTGGCGACTACGGTAATGCCGTTGGAAAGTGTCCATCTAAGAGCGTCGATAGACTCTACCCGCTCTTCCGCGATGATGTTCCCCGGGGGTCGGGAGGGTCGCATCTTCAGCGTGTGTCGAACGCTTATTCGTCAAAATAAAAATAAAGGAAAAAAACAGAAAAAATAACAAAAAAATAATAAAAAAGAAGAAAAAAGAAAGGGTCCATGGCATGGGATCTACTATTCTGACACATCATGTCACGACCAGCTAACGTGAATAATGGTTCCGATTCACCCTGCTGCTCTAGTTTTTCATTCCACCTGTCGCGTGGCCCCTTCATTTCCCTCAGGCGCATTTAACCCAATCTGCTTTTGTTGATCGCGACTGATGTTCGAGGCGTTGTCCCCCTGCTACAGAGCAGGTCATCTATCACCTTCTCTCCACGCGTGACCTGAGGTGCCAGCATTCCGTGCGGATTACAGCTCCCACACTGCTGTCCTCATTCGACCACCGACGAGACCGGCTCCCGCTGACAGCAAAGTTTTTCGATCTGTACGACTGGATGCTGCCACCCGCGGTGTCTCTTGTCTGACTTCGCAGTTCGTCGTGACGTGCTTTGTGTACACTCTGTCTTCCACGATCGTCCTCCTACAGTTGTGACCGTCTCTCTCGGGCTTAGTTACGTGGTGGCCCCACCCCGGAGACCGCCGTGCGATCAGGCCCTGCATATCGCTGCATTTCCTCCATCTTCATGCCTCCGTCCCTCCGTTGTGCTTATTCCGCTGCTTCTCGCTCGCGTCGGCTCTCCCCTCTCCGCACAGTTTATGTCCGCGCGCTTTCATTATTCATCCACGTTCCCCTTCGCTTCCTAACCCTGGTCACCTTGCTCTGTGCAGACATTGTTCTCCGCTATGCCTACCCGTTCGATCGTTTCCTCAGTTGCTGGCTGCACGGTGTCCCAACATTCCTGCCCCAACTCGCTCTGCTCGTTCATCTCTTCCCTACGTTCCTCGCCCCCCTGCTCCCAGATGTGCCCTTGCAGCGAGTTCTTTATATAGTGGGGCCCACCTCGTACTCGTCTCTCTCTAGACCTTCTATCTCGTCTTCAGCACAGTTCCGCTGCCAGTGTTTCAGCACCACCGTCTAAAGGCACTAGCCTCCGGCTCAACTCCTGTGGTCCATTTCCTCCCTCGCCGAGAATGCGGTCAGGTCTCTCCATACCGTCGCAATGCTTATCGTTTCCAATCCCGCCTGTACAT